ACACAATTAATCGTTCTCTTCATCGATTCATCGTTCTCTTCTTCAATCCCAAGCTGGATTAACCCACCCCTTCAATCCCAATTCCCAACCCAGATCCTGAAATCCTTCACCCTCCCAACCCTAAAATTAATCCCCTTCCATCCGCTCCATAATCGCCGCCGTCGAGCACCTCGAAGTGAACATCCTTCGTCGCCGGGCTACCGAAGAAGCCACAGTTAATCGCCGTGTTTGGTTTCTGTTTCCTTCCTACTTTCCGTTTCCCTTCTTCTTCCCCATTTATTTAGTCGGCCCGGCCGCCATTTTTTATGTGGAGGTGGTTGAGTTCGTCTTTCGAAAGCTGTGGCCTTTTCTCCATTATATAAAAAAAGCTTCGAGAAACCCCCCAATTCTCATTTCGCCACCTCCCTCAATTTCTGGTTCTCCGAATTTCCTCAGCAACCCTAGAAACTGATTCCTCCTTTCCCTCTCTTCTTCGACGATCCCAGATCCAGCAAAAACCAGATCCCTCTGCCCGGCCGAGTAAGGTATGAATTTTGCCAAACGACTTCTCGCGTTTGGTTTTCTGGATATGTTTGGTTTTTCTTTTATCCTGAAAAATCTGGTGTTCTGTGATTGATTTTGTCAGAGATCGAATTCGATCATCCATCGAGAGGGAGGGATTTCTGCAGCGACGCGACGATTTCTGCTCCAAGTCGATTTCTGCAGCAACTACGGCTTCTTCGGTAGCCCGGCGACGCAGGATTTCTGCTCCAAGTCAATGCAACATGAAACCGCTGCTCCCGTTGAAGCCTCGCCGCCGCTGCGGTTCGAATGAAACCCAGGAAACCCAAATCCAATGAAACCAAGAAATGGCGGCGTTGAAATTAGATCTGCAGCGACGATTTGGAAGGGGTCCGAGATTTGGAAGTCGATGCAACCTAACCCGCTGAGATGAGGAAGAAAGGGATTAGCTTTTATTTTTATTTAATTTTAATTTAAAAATAATAATCTAATGTGGCAGCTGACGTGGCGCAGATGTGGCTGCCACATATGTGCCATGTAACCAACAGTCAACATTTTATGGTTGACCGTTTGGTCAACCGTTATCTATAACGGTCAACGAAATTGTCAGGACGTAAATGACACAAAACTACCAAATGTTGGGACACAATTGTCATATCGAATACTTTAGGACACAAATGACACAAAGTTAATAGTTCGGGTTTCCCAGTGGTATTAGCCCATGAAAAAAACCATGATAAAATATAATAAGAAGGAAAGAAATACAAATAGATAATGAATAATAAATACAATTTTTCAAATAAGAGAGAGTTTCATTATTTAAGAAGTCCATATAATTGAACATTAGCGTTGCTTCCCTTAACAATTTCATTGTTGTTGGTATAAGTATATAACACATGATTAGATCTAGCTGCAACCCAATACTTGTGTGTTATCATTCCAGAAGTAGCATAGATTCAAGTCCATGACATATTTCGGTTCACCATTTAGCCTTGTCAACCATGAAAAAAGATATTGAACATAATTTGTTCTATAGAGTCCTACCTATATGTCGTTTAGCACTAAGGAGTCAACATTAAGAAGGAAGGAAGTCATCACCATAATAACCATTATTTTCTATTACCATCCGCTAGAATTAGTTTTTGTTGCTCACATAATCATCTTTCATAATTTATTTTGTAACACGCAAATAATTTTTCAAAAAAAAAAAAACGCTCATAATCAAGGTTGCAATCCCTGGGTCCGACTCGTCGGTTGACCCATTTTGATTTTTACCCGGTGAGAAAAATGGTCTGCACACATTTGTCGGGTCGACAGCTGCAAGAGACTGGGTTGGGGGCCAAACTATGTCGTTTATTCCTTACGTTTGCAAAATGCGCCTATTTTTCGGATTTCATTTTCGTCTAATCAAATCTTTGGAATTATAAGTTGAAAATTTGAATGTTATCTAAGTGTGTGTGAATTTTCACTATATGTTAGATCCAATTATGACATGTTATTTTGAAAACTTAGGTTACCAATTTGCAGAGTGGGAGCGAGAGTGTGAGAGCAGTTATATTAGAAAAATTTGATATTAATAGCGTGAATAATGGAGAGTCATTATTTTATTTAAAATATAATTAATAACAAAATATTACATAACATAATAATTGATACAATTTAGATAGGAAAAAGTGATAATGGCAAGAGGGCAAATATTTTATCAAGCTAATTTCGTTAATAATTTATTTTGAGAGAATTATTAATTTTTAGTTTTCATATACATTCTTTTATTTTCTCCACTAATTTATTTTATATTCTATTAACTATCTATTTATCTCTCGTTGTACACCACATTCCTTATCCTCCATTCTTCCCCACCACAAAAATAAATATAATCTCTCTCCCTCCACTTTTTTCTCTGTTCTCCGACCTCGAGCAAAATGCTATTTTGTTCTCCATTCTCCGGCCCAATCCCCCGGCCCTCCAAGGTTGGCCCATTCAATCCACATTAAGCTCCAATTGCAGGGACGCTTTCAAACGGCAGCGTTTCAATTAATAGTGATAAATTGTGGTGCTGTGCACGTGAGTAACTAAAGCGATCCTTTGCTGCTTCAGCAACGGGAGATTGGGCCCAATCTCTAGCTCTCGAAGTTTGGCCCATTGGATTGACTTTAAGATCTAGCGGAAGGGAAGGGAAGTTTAAACGCAGAGTTTCAATTGATTGGCGTTCATTTACAGAATTGCCCCTCCGAGAAATCCTCTAAATGCTAGAAATTCAAATTCCTACAAATCCAATCCATGTTTTGTCTTTATGTATTTTGTAGATGGTATCTCTCATTCTCATCTTAATCAACTGATCTGCTAGCAAAAAATTAAGAATTTTGAGAATCAAAACTTGTCCCGCCTCAATCAAAGTTGTCAGTAGTTTGGATAACACATTTTGGGTGACTTCATTGTCGTGAGCCATTCGTGGAGTTGCTCTTTTGACGAAAAAACAAATGTAACATTTTGATATGTGGTTATTTAAATTGTTTCATTCTGTGACAATTTTGAACCGCCTTGAAAGGGAGGTGGCACTTTCAATTGCTTCATTTTTCAAAACCAATCATTTGGTACAATACAAAATGTATTACTTTAGTCTAAGCTCACATCGGTAGTTCTTTGTTTGAAGCAATCCACCAATCATTTTGAACAATGTGCCATGCTGATGAGTGCGACTCGAGCGAGAAATCAATGAAAAATAACTATAAATGACATTTTGTTGGTTAGTACAAAAATAAGCTACAATAACATAAAAAATGAAATACACGTGAATTGTTTTGTTACACTCTATTCGGGGAGAGGTGCAAATGAGAGGGGTGCAAATGGAAGGGGTAAACACAGTTTCCAACTTATTTGCACCCGTTTGGTTCATTTGTGACAGCAAGGAGGCGTAAAACAGGGGTACAAAATTACTGTTTCGGCTTACCCCCGAATTGGGGTGCAAGAAAAAGAAGGAAGAAAGGAAGTGGGGGAAGGGGGAGAGGGGGAAAATATTTTTCTAATAAAATTTTAATCGTTTTATAATTATAAAATAATTAATATTATCAATTTCTTGTTTTATATTTATCATTAATGTAGATATGTTTTGACCGTTTGACTCCAAGAGCAAGTTTATCAAGAATTTGGTTGAATCAAGGAACCAGATCCGACCCAGACCCTGTGCTGGTCTGACCCACAGCACAGAGCCTCAACTATTTGGGGCCTCATATTTCACTAAGTCTCATGGGCCGGATCTGGATGGTCAAATTGTGTCTTATTCTTTAACGGGCCACTTAACAGAAGCCTGACCCATTGCTTCCAATCTTCTTAAAAAATATTAATGGCCTTTTAAATTTTGGCCCATGGCACATTAGCCTCCCTCATCAATTAGCCCATCCACGTCAACATTTGTTTCTCTCTTATCTCTAGAAAAAATAAATGTTTACTACAATAACTCATGCATCACTTCACTTAGTTTTTAATTAAATAAATAATTATCCCTTTTTCTTGGATAAACTTCTCCAATTCGACCAAAAAAATAAACTTCTCCGTATACCTCTCGAACTCCCACAATTTGCGAGAGAGGTTCACTTTTTTCTTTAATATGTAGTTCTTTTTTATAATTTATAATTTGGAGTTCTTTCAATTTTAATTTTTAGTTCATGTATCATTTGCATGCTAAATAAAGCAACGTACAAAATATATAACGAAACAATTAAAGAAAACTTCATAATGATATGGCAAATTATTAATTTCATTTCTAAATTTTTACCAAAGTTTCATTCCTAATGTTCAAATGTATTTTTTCTATAACATTGTTAAAATGTACTACAGGGGTTTTTAGAGAAAACTCTTATCAATATTCATAAGAAAAACTCTTATCAACGTAAGCTTTGCACCACTCACGGTGAATTCCATTTTTAATTCTTTTTTAATTGGTTGCATTTGTTTTCCCTTCTATTTGTACGAGTGTGATAGGTATAAATCTTGTGTAATTATTATTATTATTTAATAATTTTTAAAAAATTTGCGAGCAAAATTTTTAGAGCCACATTAATTTTTTTTTCCGAACAGGGCCTCCAAATATCATAGGCCGGCCCTGCAAGGAACAGTTTGGTTGACTCGGTTTGGTTGACTAAATAGTTAAAACTTACAGATTTGGACGTGTTTGACTAAGTTTGACCATATAATTATGTTATTATAAAATAAATTTGATAAATCTATTTTATAATAACATAATTACTCACTTTTCATTTTATTTGCACTCTCCTATTTTTTCAACAAAACAACAATTTCTCCACTTACACCTCCAACTAATTTGCACCCTCTGAAATTTAACCCTCAACTAGCAACCTTTTCGAATTTGCATCATTGCAATTGTTGCCAAACATAGTGTTAGTGACTTAAGACAAGCTAACATTTTTGTAATTAGCCATTCAAGTCTCAACAGTCAACGGAGCCACAGAAACCATTTCCATTTTCCGCAGCCGCCACCACCAATCCACAGTTTTGAGATGTTCTCGCCAATAAAGCAGACCCACACGAAAGCTGAAAACTTTCCGTATCTCCATTGCCCTATCCCACCACCAAATCTCCGTTGCTTCCCTTCTTCGATACTCGCCTTTTCCTTCAAGAAAAGTTTAAGATACAGAATCGGCGTTTTTCATTCATTCTCTAGTTGCCCATTTATGCTCCGAGGGGTTTCGCAGCTGCAGTCTCGATTTCACCGACTTGGGTATTTGAGGCCTGAGGGATTTTAATAAGAGAGGTAGCCTGTGGAATGGAATGCATCCAGCAGAATAGCCGAGATTGAACGAGCGAGACTTCCAAGTGGGAGAAGGAAAGAGAGGCTCGATTGGGGATTGGGATTTGCTGAGGTATTTACTCTATTCACTTGGAGATGTTCTTCTTGTTCAATCGATTCCTTTCCGCTGTTCACTGATTGCATAGAAAAGAGGGTTTGGTCTACACTTTTTCATGAGTTTGATTTTCTTCCGTTTGATTGCCGGTTCTACCTTTTGTTTGTTCATGTTGTCATTTGCGCGGGAGTGCTTTGGCTGCTAGTAAATGAATCTTTGGTTCTGAAAGTTTCGAACTTTTCGTTCGCATCCTATCTGGGTAAGGGGTAGTGAAGGATATCGATTCGTGGGATTTCCTTGATTGAGCCCAACTGTATCATTTTGCTCTTTGTTCCTCTGATTTTACCACTGGAGCTATTGTTGTAATTTATCAGTGAGTCATATAGTGTTCTCCTGATTGATTTGATGCTAGATCCTATGTAAAAGAAAGGTTTTGGTGGGGTGAAATGGGGGCCTTTGGATTGACATCTCAGTGTTGCTTGAAGTGTTTGTTTCAGAATAACTCTGCAATACCTTCTGTTTCTGTAATCACTGGTTATTTATAGCAATGGTTGCTTGGTCTGAAATTGTACTCTTTGGTGATCGCTGTCATTTTCATGTTGATAGCTTTCAAACAAACTGGTTGTTTAAGATCTTGGTCCAAACTCTTTGAGTTGATGTAAGGAAAGTGTTGCTTAGATTATAAATGCGCCACTTTTTAAGAAACACCAATCAAGATTTTCGGCTCTGCAGGTGCCAAACTGAACAGCAGAAGGGACAATGTCTTTGTTGTCAAAGTTAAGGTGTATCACTGTGGATGTCACGGGAACGTTATTAGCTTACAAAGGCGAGCTTGGTGACTACTACTGCATGGCAGCTAAAGCTGCTGGAATGCCATGCCCTGACTACAAACGTATGCACCAGGGGTTCAAAGTTGCATATACAGAAATGGCCAAGAATTATCCTTGTTTTGGGCATGCAGCTAAAGTACCAAATATCGTTTGGTGGAAGACATGCGTTCGAGACTCCTTTGCCAGGGTCGGTAAACTGGTCCTTTAACTAGCTCGTGTCTTGCATTATTGTCTACAATCTGCATAGATGACAAGTGATATCCATAACTTGAGAGAAGAGGCATTTATGTAATAGGGTTGGTGTTTGATGATTTTCAGGCTGGATATGATTATGATGAAGAGACATTTGAGAAGATATTTAGGCGGATATATGCTTCCTTCGGATCATCTGCACCTTACAAGATCTTCCCGGACTCTCAGCCTTTCCTCAGGTGGGCACGTGAGAGCGGCGTCCTTGTTGGCATTGTCAGCAATGCTGAATACCGTTACCAGGACGTGATCCTGCCAGCCCTTGGTTTACACCAGGTACTTTTAATTCATTCACACAACTTGTTCCAGAGACAATAAACCGGGTGTAGTGTATCTGCAGTTCTCTATCGTAACAATGTTCTATCGAACACCAGGGATCAGAGTGGGACTTTGGTGTGTTCTCGGGTATTGTTGGGGTGGAGAAACCTGACCCTCGTATCTATGAAATTGCGTTGGAAAGAGCTGGGAAAGATATTCGGCCAGAAGAAACATTGCACATTGGGGATAGCATGCGAAAGGACTACTTGCCTGCAAAGAAGGTGGGGATGAATGCAGTGCTACTGGATCGATTCAATATTCCAGATGCTGAGGAATGGAAGAAAGCTGGTGCACCTGTGTTTCCTGACCTTGTGGCTGTACAGGAATATCTCACTTCTGCCTCCTGACCTGACTGACTGACTGGACCGACTTCTAACGGGGTTTCGTTTGTTTCACCAACCCGAAAAGCACCTCTGTTGTATGATCTCTTCCCGTTTTATTCAGAATGAACATGGAAATTAGAAGGGGCTGATGCATGGGAAGTGAAATGCAGGTTGTTGCATGTTCACGAATCTTGTATATGCCTGCACAAGCTCTAGTTTCAGTTTCACACATATGTTGTGAGAAATCTGGGGTTTGAAAGCTGAAATGGCAATTTCTTTCTAATCTAAATGTGTATGCGTTCATATTCCAATTGCACATTCATGCCCCGGATGATTCATCCATGACTTGGTTTCGACGCTCAGAGGCATACATTAGGATGCATGTACTAGCTTCCACGATTAAGGTGTTGAATTTATTTCTCAAAACATCTTATCATAACAGAAAAATAAGTTCTAACAATTTGAGTTACCAATCAAGCTCTCGTAGCTCAGTTGGTTAGAGCACCCGTTTAGTAAGCGGGAGGTCTTGAGTTCGACTCTCAACGAGAGCATTTTTCGCTTCACAAAAGCCATAACCTTTTGATGGCCTTACTCCACACGTACCCATTAATGTATTTGATTCTTGTTGGAAGCAACAAGATATAGTTTATAAGAGGATAGTTTGAGATGTACAAATCTCCTATTTCTAGGTTAGCCCACTTACTAATGACAGAATTACATATAATCTAGAGCAGGGCCGGCCCATGATATTCGGAGGCTCTGTTCGAAAATTAAAAATGTGGCCCTAAAATTTTTTCTTTGCAAATTTATTAAAGTAAAAATTTATTAAATTTATCATTTTTTTTTTTTGAAAACCATCATAAGAAATTAGTTTTATCCACCATTAGGAGTTCAATACAATCAACATTTGCATAAGAATTTTCAACAACAATAAGAGCAGTATCCAAAACATCATTAACATCAACAGGAGCAATATTACCATCATAATCGTTTTCTTTCCCAAAAAATTTATGAAGAGCTTCTTTTTTAGATTGAGTAAACAATTCAACCATCTGCTTCTTTTTACGCTTCTTTAACCAGAATAATAATATTGAACAATATAATGTCCAACTTTATATTATAAAATTATATATCAATCACAAAATAGTCATGGTCTCTGAATCTAATTTTGTGCACGTTTTCTTGCACAAAATTATTTGTCGTTTGACATTTACGTGGTGGTAGGTTTTTGTTTTAGTAAAAGAGTAACCTAATGTCATGATGGAGACATGGATACTGAATATCCTAGTGGTGATGTGTAAAATTGTTAAAAAGAATCATTAAATTTGGGCGTTTGCTGTCTTGTGGGTTTTATTAATTAGATTCAGAGACAAAGATAATTAGTTTAATACACAATAGTTATTGTGCATTTTCTACCGTAATATTATGTTTAGAATTTAATGCTTCCCCTTGGACAAGGACTAATCCAATGATTCCACCCTGAAAAAAAAAAAAAAAGAGTATGAAGAGCCGGCCCAAGCAAAATCACTGCCACAAAAAATAAACACATTTCGAAGCACTAATCCAATTAGCCCATAACCAGCCGTACAGCCCATTTTCATTTCAGCCCGGCCCGACAGTCCATTGCTTCTCTAACTCCATGGCGGGGCCCGGCCCATTAGATTAAGAAGAGTCTCCGTTTCCCATCAGGTTAATTTTTTTAATATACATGTACTGTATATGAGCCGGGCTGAGGCCCCATATATTTTGAGGCCCTGTGCTGTAGATCGGGCCAGCACAGGGCCTGGGCCGGGCCTGATCTAGAGTGGCAAGTAGTGTAGAATGAAGTCCCATATATAATAAGACTGAATCTTGGCAAGAAGGTCAATTTGACCTTTGAGCTTTTATGCTTTGGTCAGCTTCAGTACATGAATGTTATTTATGGTCATGGCGGTACATGAACTCTTATTTTTCCCCCCGGTAATTATGAACTCTTACTTTTGATCAATCCAATACATGAACTTTTTAATTTATGTGTAATTCTAACTAGAGTTGATGACATGACATTAATTAAATTTATTTATTTATGCCATCTCATACCCTACGTGTCACTTAAAATAAATTAAAAAATGGATCACATAAATACTTTTATCCTTTATTATTGCTTGACTTTCTTTTCTGAGCTTTTTTCAAAGAGTTCTCGTAATGGACTTAATCTTGGCAAGAAGGTCAATTTGACCTTTGAATTTTCATGTTTTGGTCACCTCCGTACATAAATCTACAAGATATATAATGGCAAAACATGGGTTGAAATTGTCCCATTTCAAATTTCGTGGCCTGAGAGTGATTCTAGGAAGGTCATTTTTGTCATTGCACCCAGTTCTTTTTTATATATTAAAAATGTTACCATTGGAGTTCGAACTCTGGTCAATTCAATGAAGAAATAACATTGTAACCAACTACGCTACATTGTCTTATAGTTATTTTTTTATTAAAATCTAGAAATATGTTTGGTGATGATGCTTCTATATTTATATTTTATCTTAAGAATGAAGAAATAACATTTTAACCAACTACGCTACATTGTCTTATAGTTATTTTTTTATTAAAATCTAGAAATATGTTTGGTGATGATGCTTCTATATTTATATTTTATTTTAAGAATAAAGATATAACATTTTAACCAACTACGCTACATTGTCTTATAGTTATTTTTTTATTAAAATCTATAAATATGTTTGATGATGATGCTTCTATATCTATATTTTATCATAAGTTATTTATATTTTATGGAAAGAGATTATTTCTGAAATTGGAACTCAAGTAACATTCATTCAAACATTAATATTAAATTGTATGTGTAGTTTAGTTTAGACAAAATACAGAAGTGTAACCAATACATGGACCCTTGTGACAAGTATATTCATTTTTTTGTGACAAATATACACATAATATAATTATAAAAATGAAAAATGAGAGTCTCATTTCAAATTTCTTGGTATGAGAGTGATCCTAGGAAGCTCTTTTTCGTCATTGCGCCCAATTTATCTTTATATTATGTGTAGATTGTCACAAATAATTGCTATATTTGTCACAAAGGTCCATGTTTTGGCTACACCATATGTATTTTGTCTAAACTGAACCATATGTATTATGTGTACATTTCCTACTAGCTTCTTCAACCAAGTAGCAGGTTTCTATAAAAAAAATGTTTAAATCAATATTATTTCAGTTTCAATTTCACAATTAATCACTTTCTATAAGATATAATAATTTCAGGTAAAATACATTTCCTACTTGGTTGAAGAAGCTCTTTTAATAAGATACATTTAATGTTTTAAGATTTTTCATTTGAAATTTCGTGAATTGAGAGTGAAAGTAGGAAGAGTAAGTTTGTCATCACAATTATTTATCTACTTCATACAAAAAAGTATCAATATCAAGATTTGAGCCATGGTCTTTTCAAACAAAAACAATAATCACAACCAATTGCACTAAACCAATTTATTTTATCTACTTGAATTGTAAACATACACTAAGTGAAGATTTGAAAAGCAGATGACTTTTCACCACGGTTAGCTAGCCTATTAAATCTTCTGAAAATCAAAGTTGAATACGTGAATTATAATTTTTTATAACCTATACAATTTTGGATAATCTTAAAATTTCAACCCAAATTTCATTGCTTGAAATAATGCATATCGAATTGCAGCATTGAATATGCAAAAATCATGTAGAATTCTTAAAATTAATTTAAATTTTCAAAACTACTACGAAGCAATAATATTTTGTACAAACGACAAGTGAATGGTTCTCTAAACTTTTAGCCTGGTTAACTCCTAAACGTTAAACTTCAAGGGCTCACGCACAAGTCTGAGCACCACACAGTCTATATTGGTGAACTCATGTTTTAAGAAGAAATGCGTCATTTGATAAAAATAAAATATTATAAAAATAAAATTTAAAATTTCAATTAATGAGTAATTTTTTACATCAACATGTGACGGCTCCTATTCTAAAAGGTTTATAAAATACATTCATTGTTTATTTTGAGACTCAAACCTTTTCCAATTTATACAGCTAAACGCTCATTTATAAACTCATTCTCGATTAACTTCAGAGCTGAAAAGTCTAATTTACAGCCTGCAGTAATAACAAATAACGTCAACAATAACTTTAGAAGCAAGTAAAGTGAAGAAGAAATTGAGATTTAGTATCTTTTTGCAAATGTGTGTGTGTTTTGGGGGCGGGGGAGTTTTTTTGGTCTAAACGACCATAAAACTTCACACCATAGGCTAAATTGGCTAGGTGATATTTAGCAATATAAAATGGTTGAACCTCGGTTCAATTATGACTTTGGTATAAAATACTCTACTACCTACTTTTTTATACAATTTTACAATAATTTGGTTCAAATAATTCTTTTACACTGGTGGAAATAAAAGGTTTAAGGCACATTTTGAACAATCTATTGCAAAAAAGCATAAGTGAGTTAGCGATAACGAGAATATGCAATCTCATTCATCCCAAATGACACTTTGCAACTTATATCTTTTTAAAATAAGTGTATGCTACTCTTATCCTCGCTCATTCGTCAACTTAATGAGTAACATATATTTTATATAATATGATTTTCATAGGTTTTTTATTTATTGAATTACTTCATGAAAAAAATATTTGCTACAATGAAAATTATTACATTGTTGCTAGACATGTTTGTGTTATGAGAGTAATTTGGGAAGTCCGTACACAATGCATTATTCAACTAACTATTAGCGAAAACTTAAGATCATGTTTTATATATTTCTAATCAACCAACTTCAGATTTATTACCAACTGTGTGGTAAAAAAGAATGCTCTCTATTGGAAAATTACTTAAAGGACATACTAAACTCTATGAGATATATTTTCTTTCATCCTAAATATTGATTATGTATGTATTATGAGAAGCAACTCTAATATTCAACTATATGATTTAATTAAACAACGAATGACAATTAGTTTATTTATTTATTTTTCATTATGTAAGTACATGTAATGCTTATACCATACTTTTTTCTCTTTTCATAGAGGACTAAACACATTATACATAGTTGGATCACTTTGAAAAATATTATGTGCATAACTAAGGTACAAACAATCATTTCATATATTTTAAATCATCTATTATATCTATTATTATATACCATATTTTTTGACAAAATTCTCTCGGCCAACGGGCCGAGTCCTGTGCTAGTGTTATTTATGGTCATGGCGGATTTATCATGGACTCTTGGTCTACGGATTATGAAATTGGAAGATCGCGACAAAGCAAGAAAACGAAACCAATAATAAACGAATAAGACACACACGGATTTACGTGGTTCACTATCCACAATATGTGCTCGCTAATCTACGGATAGTAGATATCCAATTTCACTATAGCTTGAACTGATACAGATAACAGAGATAATAAGATTCGAAACAAAAGTAGTAAGACACGAAATTTTGTAAGTGAACTCTTGATTTTGTACCGGAACCGGGTAATAATTAACCATGGCTTAATCGCGTTTTGGAGATGGTACGCGATCTTTGCATGTCTCCACACAACAGGGGATTGTTTGTTGATCGAATTCCTCTCTGTTTCTCTTTCTATTTACCGACTTTCTTCTTCTTCATTTTTTTAATAAATGAAATTGCCAGCTGAGATCGAAATTCTTGCCTCACTCTGTGTTAATATATGATCAAGGAGTACTGCTCATTCTGAAGGGACAGAGAGAAAGAGAATCATGTGTTGCATAATCCCGATCTTGGCTGCGCTCGTAGCTTTCACTCCGCCGGCGATCTACTGCTTCCTGTCGCAGAACTGCGGCGACCTTGTCGACGATTTAGCTGTGGGTAAGTACATCGTAACAGCCGATTCTTGCTGGAGTTTGTGGAAGAGGGTGGCTCTCGTGCTTGCACCGCCGTTGCTGGTTCTACTTCTGAGATGCTGCTGCTCCGTGAGAAGGCCGCCGCCGCGGAGGCAGCCGAAAACCCTTTGACAAAGACTATACCAAGCACTTTGTGTACTATTTCGATACTTACTTTTTGAGATTTCTCTTCGAAATGGGTTTTAAATTTTTAGATTTATTTGATTTAATATTCATATGTTACTATGGAGTCATATTTTTATTTTGCAAGATGATGAACAAGGTGAACGGAAGAGGCAGATGACTTAATTATTATAGCTCATTCATGTAGCCCTGGAAATGGAAGCAATTCTCAAAAAAGATTCTTTACTCCAATTTTGGTTGGACGCAGAAGCTCCAACCATCCAACGTGTCAGTTTGTTATTGGTGGATTCATCTTCCTTTTTTTTAATATTTAATTAGGCTAAATAAATCAAGAATTAAAATATAAAAAAATGATTAAATCACAAATTAAAAACTGACATGTGATTGGTTGAAGTTAAGAATTTTCCATTCTTCAAAAGGCAAATTAAGGATTTTCGTCTTTATTTCAAAATCATGAGATTATCATCCGAATTTAAATTAATAATTGGTCATCAAGTTCCAATCAAATACCGCAATCCAAATTCATAAAAAAGAAAATACCGGAATCCAAGCATGAAATGATATTCATATCTTAATTACAAGTCAGAGTGTGCAACAATTTGATTCGTATCAGACAAAATACAATGATGATATGATCCGTGATTCTAAAATGTCTTTCACCTATAGATATATCGATGCATGAAGGAAAGGACTGATTGTTTGATTGTAAAGGTAGTTAGCTTTATGATCCGGTAAAGTGAAGTTGCTTTATCCCCCGGAAAAAAATGGCTAACAGCTTTTGTGATCATTGGAAGCAAAGTGGCCATGGCGTCGTGACTCCATTCAAAAAAAGTACACCTAAACAAATATTTTCCTTGCTCTAGGGGCAACATACTCTTCTTCTTTAAGTATATGCCAAGCCACCATTAAACGTTTGCACATCACTCTTTACCTCAAAATCTAAACCAGACTTTCCATGTTTCATCTCCACTCACTCCATCCCTACAATAATGTTGAACACAGCCCGACCGCCGACGGCAAAACCAAAGAGCAACAACAGCAACAGTACTACTAAGCATCGCATGGCAAAGCTCTCCATCTTCCTCTTCACCATCTCCGCCACCGCACTCTTCTTCTACCTCTCCGAAATCCAGTCCCTCCGCCTCCGCTCTCCTCCCTCCTCTTGGTTCTCCGACCTCATCCGCACCGACTCCTCCTCCTCCTCCGCCGCTGTCACCACCGGTGATCAAGAAGTACAACAAGCTGACGATGAAGAGCACCGGCTCATCGTGGACTCCATGACCGAAAAGCTCCGACAGTCGGTCACGTTCCTCCCGCTCAAGGACCTCCGCTACTCCCCCGTGCCCTTAGAAGGACACACGTGGTTCATGAGCTCGTTGTTCGACTTCCAGGACGAGGACGGCGGGGTCCAGTACCAGGAGTTCCCCTTCGCCGCGGAACCGGGGAAGGGGAACTCCCTGGGACGGCTGCTCTGCCTGAAAGGCAGAGACACCCACGATGGGTCGTGGAACTACTACGCGCTGGCATGGAAGGAAGCCCTTCCGGTCAACGCCACCCTGATGAAAGGGCTGACCTTCGTGTCATACAACCACTACGACTACGGCAACATCTGGCACGGGCTGTCGAGCCTCGTGCCGTTTGTTGCCTGGCACAGAGCCCACCGGTGTGGAGACTCCTCGTTTCCGGACAGGTGGGTTCTGTACCACTGGGGGGAGCTCAGGTTGGGGATGGGGCTCTGGCTTCAGACGTTGACCGAGGCCATATTTGGGGGCGGGGGCCCTCCCAGAGTGGAGGGTTTTGAAGGGGTTGGTGAGGACCAACCGGTCTGCTTTGAGAAAGTTGTGGTGACGAGGCACAATGAGGGTGGGATGTCGAGGGAGAGGAGGATCGAGACCTACGACCTGATGAGGTGCAAGGCTAGGGTTCACTGCAACGTCAGCCTGGGTCGGAGGCCAACCGACGATCAGGGGGTGTCTGTGATCGGGATGACTCTGTTCCTGAGGACCGGGGCGAGGTCGTTTCGGAATGAGAGTGCAGTGATTAGGGTGTTTAGGGAGGAGTGTGGGAAGGTGGATGGGTGCAGGATCCAGGTGGCTTACTCCAATAATCTCACATTTTGTGAACAGGTAACTACCTTTAATTAATTGAGTCATTAGTTAGCTTATTACTCTTTGTCTAATTAATCTCTAGGTTAGCTCTTAGATAATGGGTTGACTGAAGTCGAGGATAAAGAAGATATCAAATTTGTGCTTTGACCAAAAGGTTTCACTAAAAAAGTTCCCATGAAGAAAGGTGATGGTCACATGGATTCACCTAGCTAGCACTCAAAATCACTCAAAGGAACAATCACATGAATGGCACCTTTGAGTATTTGACACCCATCCAATTTATACACCATAAAACACATATTATATAGTATATATGCTTCGTGTACGAATTCTTATGAGCCGTGAATCGATACTGTAATTTTTCTTTTCAGTTTTCGATATGATTGTAGTTGCGGTATTAATTAATTAGGTCAATTGTTTTTTTTTTTTGGTTGGTCAGGTGAAGTTGATGAGCTCGACCGATATTCTAGTATCACCACATGGAGCTCAATTGACAAACATGTTCCTAATGGACAAGAACAGCAGCGTGATGGAGTTCTTCCCCAAAGGATGGCTAAAGGTCGCCGGCGTGGGCCAGTTTGTTTACCACTGGATCGCCAGCTGGTCGGGGATGAACCACCGCGGCGCGTGGCGGGACCCCGACGGAAATAACTGTCCGTTTCCCGAGGACGATCGCCGGTGCATGTCGGTTTTCAAGGACGGCACGATCGGAGTGAACGAGACTCATTTTTCGCAGTGGGCTCAGAGTGTCCTCGGTGAGATGAAAGCTAGGAAGTTGGAAGATGCAAAAATGACGGCAAACGGGAACAATTTTGAACATGTCCCAAAAACTTGTCATTGTGGTTGATTTATTAGTATGGAACCCTTTTTTCACATAAGGGAAGCTTTTCTTATTGATTTTTGTTATCCGATAGTTGGCGAGAAATAAATGAGTATTTTTTCCCGATTTTTTTATGGAGAATGGGTGCGGCATACCACTATCTTATAACATTAATACATCGGATTACCGTTGTTCCAAAAATGTCATACAATACCCATTTACAGATCTCATGGTCATGCTTAGAAACATAGTGAGCGAGAGAAGAAACCGAGAAACTCATATGAGTCAAACAGTCGCCTGAAAAATTCTCTTCTCTAAAAACATGAGATAGACTAACCTCCCACTCCTTTCAGAGGAGGTTGCGAAATTGGATCACTAAGCTCGCATTAATTTTTCTTTTATACTTTTGATTATTTATTCTTTCTAATCTATTAAACTTTTGGACTTTGCTACGGTGACATGCACTTTTCGGTCGACCTCATATAGGATTAGGTCGACCTAATCTGTTGTTTCAGTGTAAAAACAGTTTCATGGTGTCTACTTTGGAGATTCATATCTTACAATTGACTAGATGAAAATTAGAGATCAATGACTTGTTTTGAAACTGAAGTATCCGTCTACACATTAAACTACTTGAGGCTCAGTAAGAAGTCCAAGAACACCATTTTTCTTTCTTATCTATTAATTAAACCTTTGCACGGAAGAATAGTCAAATTCCTGGGTCCGGAGTCCGGACCACGAGAATTGGGTTGGAGAGTGCTCCCCGGTCGTAAAATATTTTTGGGCGTGGTGTAAGGATCTTTATTGGATTGATCTGGCGAAAGAGATGAAGAATGGGGAATGGAGGATTTACAGAGATGGAATGAGAAGAGGGTTCTGGATTCTAGAGAACTACAGCTAAAGTGGGGAAAGGGAAGCAACTAACTGTTTACACTTTACACAATTTGTCCAAAGATGCTCTTCTCCTAATAGTAGTAGCTATTTATACTTGACTATCCTCACACGTCATCACCCAGCTGGGTTGTTACAAACCCTCCCCCTTCAGAGGCAGCTTGTCCTCAAGCTGTGTGCAAGATGGAAAGTAGGATGTTGCGCCTTGAAAGAGAGCAAGGCTTCCCAAGTAGCTTCCGCTGGTAGCTGAAGCGTCCACTGCAAAAGAACTTGCATCCCAGCCTGGTGATGATGTTGCAACTGTTGATGGTGATGCGCAACAGGGGAAACAAACCTGTCCCGCTCACTTGGGCAAGGAGACTGAGTCAGCAACAACTGGAAGCAGTCCAGGAGAAGGCCAGCAGCGGATGAAGCAGAAGGTAACAGAGCAAAAGTTGGCGGGGAAGACGGCAAAGAAATTGCAGGCGCATTTGAGGAATTGGCAACGGACGAATCAGAAGGCAGCGAAGCAAAAGATGGTGGTAAAGAAGAATCAGAAGGCAGCGAAGCAAAAGATGGTGGTAAAGAAGGAGGGGCCAAAGGCGGTGGTTCTTGAGAAGAAAAAATTTGGTCTTGAATTCCCGGAGAAGAAGCGACAGAAGGAATTAGGGATTTCGGTGTTGGTGTAGACAGGGACGAAACCCAATCGAAGGTTAGAGAAGGAACCTGGGGGTCTGCGGTCGAATCGTACTGCCCGGAGAAGGTGGAAGAAGGAACCCGCAGATGAGGATCCAACATTGACGGCCAACGCGGTGGCGAACAGAACGACTGTTGATCGTCGAACTGATTGGGAGTCACGTGCGTAGAAGAACGAACCGGTGACTCGTCCCGCCGTTGCTCCACCGAAGCAGTAAGAGCATCGATGGAGGCCTTCGTGGAAACCGCAAGATCAGCAATGGCGACCTTCAGATCCCGGGTCCGTGAGTCCATCTGCTGCTTGATGGCGAAGGGTTGATGAGCAAAGAGACGATCATAATGGTGACGCGGTGGTGAGGGAATCGGCGATGTCGCCTGATTTCGCGTCAAAGAAGCAGTGAGGGCGGCGATGCGCTCCCTTGTCGAAGCTGCAAGAGCAGCAATGGCGTCTTTGATGTCTTGATGCTGAAAATCCATCTGCGACTGAACAGCCACCATCTGCGTCTCCAAGGCCACGATACGAGAAGTAATTGTTGCCATTGCCAGATTACAGGCTCTGGATACCACTTGTAAGGATCTTTATTGGATTGATCTGGCGAAAGAGATGAAGAATGGGGAATGGAGGATTTACAGAGATGGAATGAGAAGAGGGTTCTGGATTCTAGAGAACTACAGCTAAAGTGGGGAAAGGGAAGCAACTAACTGTTTACACTTTACACAATTTGTCCAAAGATGCTCTTCTCCTAATAGTAGTAGCTATTTATACTTGACTATCCTCACACGTCATCACCCAGCTGGGTTGTTACACGTGGAAAAAAAAGAAGGAAACTTAAAGAGAAAGAATCTCCAGCAGGCAGCAGAAAGTTAGCACGAAAGTCTCTGGGGAAGTACTAACAAACGCAGCAGAGACGAACTGCAACCAAATCCCGAGAAAAAGATGCAGAAACGCACCATTTACGCCTGGGCAGTAGCCCTCATCTGCTTCGTGGTGCTCATGATCGTTACTCCCGCCATCCCTCAATCTCAAGAATACCATGATTTCGCCGACCAGCGCCGATTCCTCGGTAAATTCACGTTTTTTCTTCCTTTTCTCTAGTTTTCCCCGTTTGCCCACGTCTGGAAGCTAGTTTCCGCGTCCGCCGAACTGATCCAGTGGAGTGAATGGATTGGGCTTCATGGCCTCCCAGCAGAAATTGAATACTTGATCAAGTTGAAGTAGTAATAAGGGTTTGTGGGTTCACCCTGAATGTTTCCTTCTTTCGGGAGTTAAAAAGATGTGAGATTTGGATGAGAAATTTGAATTGATGGCTGAGAGTTGGAAAGTTTAGATTTTTTCTGTGGATTTTGATCTGGTTCAAGTGATGTGTTGGGGTTAATGACATGATTATTCATTTCAATTTGATTTGGTTCAGGAATCCCCAATATGCTCAATGTGGTGTCGAATTTCCCTTTCCTTGTTGTCGGGCTAATCGGACTTGTTCTTTGCTATCACGGGAACTACTTTAAGCTCAGGTGTGTGACTGATTCTCAGTATTTCTGATAGGTTTGATTAGACTGTGAAAGGAACAGCCGGAGCTCCAGTTTTGAAGTATTCATGTATGCCTTTTCCTTCTCTTTTATCTGATTTGTGAAGTTTGCAAGGCGAGCTTTGTGGCTGGACATGTTTCTTTGTTGGTGTGGGGGCTGTGGCTCTAGGCTCAGCGTACTACCATCTCGACCCTAATGATGCTACCCTCGTGTGGGATCGATTACCTGTGAGTTTAACAATTTTCTTCAGAAATGGAATTGTGGTTAGATAGGCTGTCGATTGATGAATAAAGAAGTACTAACTTGTGCTCTTTTCTGAATGAAAAAAATGCAGATGACTGTTGCGTTTACATCAATTATTGCGATTTTCATCATCGAAAGGGTTGATGAACGGAAGGGAATGTTCTCTCTCGTACCTCTAATTTTGGTTGGGATTATAAGCATTGCATATTGGAGGTGGGTCATTTTGTTAGTCTTGTGTTCATTTGAGAATCAATTATTACCATAGGCTACTTTTCCCCCTCTCTTATTTGATGCCCACCTTACATAGATCACAAGAACTAAAGTATCTGCTAGATCTGGTTTATGTTATATATCCTACATTTAGGTGCTCTGTTACTCTATAGTCTATTCTGTTACAAACCAAGTTATTATCACCTGGGCATGTCTTCTATCAGTTAGATAGATTTAACGAAATCTGTTGGCAGCATGCTTAATCCCATTACAGTATGAGCGTGAAGGACCTTGTATTGATTTGCTTCTTAAAGGACATGAATTGTAGATGTGAAAATTCAAATGATCTTTTCTGACAGACATGAATTGTAGATGTGAAGATTGATTATCAGTACTTGGACTTGCTTGAAATTCACTGTGAATTGTTATCCTTGTCCACATGACTCAATCTTAAATAGCATGTGCCCTGTACAGAGGTCAGGCTACTGCCTCTATAAAATCCCTCTCGAACGTATTTCTGATTTCGATATTTAACATGCAGTTTCTTCGATGATCTTCGCCCGTATGCTCTGGTTCAGTTTGTTCCTTGCATTGCTATTCCACTAATGGCTATTCTGCTCCCTCCAATGTACACTCACTCCACTTACTGGCTTTGGGCAGCAGGTGTTTATTTCAACTGATCGCTTCTCTGTTGCTGTACTTCTAAACATCATAACTGGTGTAATAGACTAGTCACCGTTTTTATGCCCTGGCTTGCAGCTTTTTATCTTCTTGCTAAGGTAGAAGAAGCTGCAGACAAACCCATATACAGCTGGACGCATCAAATTGTCAGTGGGCACACCCTTAAGCACCTGTGCGCTGCCATGGTTCCTGTTTTCTTGACCCTCATGCTTGCGAAGAGATCTATCGAAACCGAGAGGTTCGATTTCTTGCTGCTTTGCTACATTTCCATACGGTGTCAGGATCCATGCTGCTAGGCCTGCAGCTGTCTAGATTAGCATCATTCTCACATCTTGTGCATTTTGTGATTTTGTTATGAATGCAGAATAAGTCTGCTTAGCATGTGGCGGATTTCTTGGACCAAGTACAAGGAGAACGGCACAAAGGTGGAGACTTACAGTTGCACTTACACAAGCGTACCAGCTCAGGAACAAGCTTGACTGAGTTGCAATCCATTAAACTCCCATGTGATACCGAATCCTAACTTCGTATGCCTCTACTATGTGAATTGCCGGCTCATATGACCATCAAACTGATCAACCAAGATACGCTAGTTGTTGTACATGAACAGTAATGAATTGTTTGCCCAGTTGGGTGAACCTTAAAATTGACGAGAAAGATATATTGTCGAGATATGATATAACTAAAATACCGCGATATTTTGGCATTTTATTCTTTTTCCCTCAATATATTGTCCGAAATGTGAAAAAGGGCCTGAATATAAGACCGAAAATGCAGAAAATTATCCAAAATGTAGGAAAAATTATACATGCTAAAATACAGAAGGTATATATGGAAACTAATCAATAAAAATGCTAGGAAAATACAGAAAAATTAGAAAACGAATACATTTCCTGGGGTAGAAAGAAATGCACTGAGACCAGGATTGCCAGCTGACTATTTGATGTCTATTTGATGTTTGGAGCAGGGACTTCCCAAACCTGTGGACTTCTCCATTAAGCACCCTAATCGAGCTCTGCATATCGATACTAGTTATATGGATTGAGTTCAAAACCAAAAAATCAGCTTCACCAATAATCCCCACAAGAACAAGTGCCTTTCTCAAACTGATGGAATCGATTCAAATCTCTTACTACCATAACCCGTTCGTATATCTTCGATATAAATTTGAAAGCTGTGTGGCAGTCTCCACATATCCTGAGGTTCTTCGTTATTCGAAGAACTACTCCCGGGTTTGTGTTGAGAAGACCAAAAGCTACAGCTAGCTTTTCGCTATGGGTTGTAAGGTTACGCTCCTTCTCTTCTTCACTGACATCATGCAGCACCACAGTTGTATCTGGTACATACCCGGCTGCCTTCATCCTTTCAGCCAATGCCTCAAGAAACAAGTATATTTCCTTCGACTCGGTATGGGACCTGTCCTCACCCAGGAACAGGTGAACTTTGCCATTGACCTCAATCCAACTGCAACCAGGATTCTTTCGTATTCCTCGGCCTTGAATAGCAGCTCTCAAATCATCTACCTCGCCCCACATGCCAGCTTCTGCGTACATGTTCGACAGCAGGATGTAATTGCCACTATTTTCAGGCTCTAACACAAATAGCTTCCTAGCTGCTATATCTGCAGTATCTAGATTCTTATGCATCTTACTAGCAGCCAACAATGCCCCCCAAATGCTTGCCCCTGCTTCCATAGGCATTTCGTCGATCATCTTCTTTGCTTCCACGAATCTCCCAGCACGACCCAAGAGATCAACAATGCACCCATAATGCTCAACTCTTGGTTCCACCGAGAAAACTGGTTTCATATTATTGAAGTACTTCAAACCCATTTCAACTAGACCTGAGTGGCTGCATCCGCTCAGCAGGCCAGTAAATGTGACTGTATCGGGTCTAACCCCTGCTTCAATCATCTCCTCGAAAGTGGCCACAGCTTCCGTTCCACGCCCGTGGGATGCATAAGCAGTTACCATAGTGTTCCAAGCAACTAAATTTCTATGAGTTGGGAGCAGTTGATCGAAACAGCAGCGTGCATCAACAAGGCTCCCACATTTAGCATACATTGCAATAAGCGCTGTGCAGACTGATGGGTTCGAGTCCATACCGATACTAGCAGCATAATCATGGATTTTCCTGCCGCGTTCAAGAGCAGCAGAGTGTGCACAAGCGGGGAGCACACTCATTATTGTCACCCAATTGGGCTTCACATCAGAATCATACTTCAACATCTCGTCGAACAGAGTTAATGCTTGCTCAACGAGCCCATTCTGGGTGTATCCTGATATCATAGCAGTCCAAGAAACGATATTACTGCAAGGAATCCTCGCAAACAAATCCTCAGCGACGCGAATCTCTCCATCTCTCATGTATCCAGCAATCAGAGCATTCCACGAGGATACATCTCTAACATCCATTATATCAAACAGCTTGCGTGCATTCCCTATTTCGCCACATTTCACATACATGTCGATCAAAGAAGTTCCAACGTATGTATCTAACTCCAACCCAATCCTCAGACTCAAGCCATGAACACATTTGCCAATCAAAAGATTCAACAAATCAGCACAAGACCTCAGTACAAAAGGAAACGTGAAGTTATCCCCTTGAAAGCCTGACGAATGCATCCGAAGATAAAGCTCTACACTTTTCTGGTGGCAGCCGTATTTACTATAAGCACGAATCATGGAATTGTACAAAATCAGAGAAGGGTTCTGAATCCTACCGAACAAAACTCCAGCAGCGTCGAGGTCACCAGAACTGGCGTACATCGCAACCATTTTCGCTGCGGTGAAGCCATTGGGTTCCCACCCGCGAATCGCCATGTGGGAATGAACTTGCCGCCCGATTCTCAAGAAATTACGGCCGGTCAGATGCTGGAAAAGGGGCGCGTAGAATGAAAGGTCGGGCGGCTCGTGCTTCAGAAGTGGGTGTAAGAGATTCCATAGTGGCGTTCTATACGGAGACGACTTGGAGGAGGGATTGCTCCCGACGTAATCCTCCGGCGAGACATCTGCTTCGATAGTGAATGAACGGGAAGGATTCAGCGCAGAAAGAAGGACAGGGTTTGGTTTGGATTTCGGAAGGGCGGCTGTCGAGCAGAGGCGTTGGTGCATTTGAAAGTGGCGGGAATGAGAGAACTACGGCGGATTCTATCATTAGACCTTAACCGACTGTACCGAGAGCGCTGAAACAGAATAGCTTTCGGGGAAATTGACGTCAAAAGAATATATAATGGTGGAGTTTTACAGAATTTTCAGCATTCAAATTTTTTTGGCCTCTCCTTAATTTCCGGAAGGGTGTTTTAGTCCAGTCTAGTTATTCTGCTAACTGTATAAGTTGTTAGTATATACTAACTAATATCCAAAATGTATGAACATGTATCCAAGTTTGCTGAGTATCTAGATAGCACAGACTAGTATTCAAAACATCACAAACTAGTATCTAGATAGCAGATACCAACTAATATCCACAATCAACCAACTAGTATTCAATATTGATACTCTTATGTGTTATTTGGATACTTTTATGTGTTATGTGGATACTAATTATGTGTTGTATGGATACTATTCTGTGTTGTCTAGATATTTGTTTGTGAATTTGAAATAATAGTTGATTCGTGGTGGATATCAGTTAGCAAACTTTGAATACTAGTATGTGATCTCTAGATACTTTAGTACTTGGATACTAGTTCATGTATTTTGGATATCAGTTAGTATCTGCTAACGAATTTTCAAGTTAGCAGATTAACTTTTCCCGTTTTAGTCCATCATAGCCTCTTAATTTCCTGTTTTCCCGCCCAAATGATACTGATTAAGTTAGTTAATCCAACTCTTGTCCTAGCCCGCAAGACGACTATGTAGTTGGGCCAGCTTTAAAGCCCAAAGCTACCCCAACTCCCACTACTGTCTATAGTGATGGCAATTTCAACCCGCCCCGCGGGTATTACCCGACCTGACCCGCGATGGGGCGGGTATTACCCGACCCGCAGTAGCGTGGGGCGGGGCATGGGTATCTACTTCTAACCCGTCCTGCCCCGCCCCGCCCCGTTCTAGACTCATTTTATCTCAATTTCTTACAATATCTATACAAATTTCTCCTATTTTGACTTTTCTTTAACTAGTTAGAGTCGATCTTTCAACTTGTTAGGCTCAATTATCCATTCTATTATCTATATTTTTCATTCTTAAAGTGTTTTTTCTTACGTTTTATTGTAAAAAGTAAAATTTACTTGTATTCTTTTTGAACAACATGTAAGAGTGGGTCGACCCGCCCCGCCCCGTACCCGCGCGGGTTTTACCCGCCCCGACCCGTAATAGCGTGGGGCGGGGCATGGGAATTGAGGTACCCGCCCCGCCCCGCCCCATTGCCCAAGTATTTTGGTTACCAAATATGAGTTGTATTTAAGTGATTTATTTTCTGTTACACTCTTCACAAATTACTGTAAGCTAATAACTAATTTCTTAATAATTTTGAATTTCTTAGTTTTTTAATTAAGCCATGAACTTAGCACAACTTATTGAATACCAATATTTGGATGTTATGTATTTAGAGATTGGTGCATTGCTCTCTCGCTGAGATTTAAAGGTTAAATGATAGAGGTTAAAGTTTGTTGATCTTTTAGTGTTTATAGTACTATATATAACTTATGTGTGTTACTGCCATAAATGAACAAAGCTTATGCATGTGACTTAAATATTGTCAAATTATGATTTTTACATAATAAAATGATGACTAATTTGAAATCAAAGAAAATCCAGTTGTATAGTTTCTAGATTATGTGTATAATATTTCAACATAAAATTATGCTTAATTTAATCACACATTAAATGAGTAGATCAAGTATAGAGAATATGTAACAACCTATTGAATATCAAGATTGAGAATAACCTCATACATTATGATGAAATTTTTAGAAAAAATCATTATTTTTGTGAATACTATTATTACATTACATTGTGAATCCTTGACAAAAATCTAAAATTTATTAAAAAAAAGATATAAAACTATTCTTATCTTATAAATCTTAAATGTATTCCAGCCAACTGGCCGGGTCCAAGCTAGTTTATTAAGAAACTTTGGTTTGGCACGGCACTCACACATGAAACTTGTTCTCCTTGTGTCGTATTAGACTGGCCTGGGCCGCTGCCCATGTATATATAGGAATGGCAATGGGGCAGGTCCGGGGCGGGTTTCTTGGTACCCAGACCCGCCCCGTGGCAGGGCGGGTCCAGGTCGGGTAATTGATCACGGGTCGCGGGTCGGGGCAGGTCGACCCAATGGGTATGCAATTTATTTGAAAAACATTAGAAATATTGTTATTTTTATTATAAAACTAAGAAAATAAACAATATTATGACAATTGTAGTTAAATTATTGGAGAAATTGAGGTTTTCACTAATTTACAACTTTATTATAGCTAAAATATGATGCGATAAAAGTAAAATTCAAAGTAATTTGACTAAGATTTCATGTAATTTAGACAAGAACGGGTCGAGAATGGGGCGGGTCAGGGCAGGTCGGGTCGATGAGACTACCCATGCCCGCCCCGCCCCGCCTACGGGGCGGGTCGGACCCGCCCCAAAACAGGTCAAACAGATCGGGTAAAACGGGTCAGGTCGAAATTGCCATCCCTATGTATATACAGCTTCCTTCAATTCAGTAGTTGGGGAATCATTCTAACCATTGTTTCAAGACTTTCAACAATGAAACTGCTAAGTGATTAAGTTCTTGAGCAGAGTAGATAGATGTCTTCATTCAAACTGGAAGCTTTGGATTTTGATCAACCCCTGATACTAAAACCTTGGGATATATTTAAGCTCAAATAAATGTATAACAACAATGATAGAAAGGCAACCTCCTGAAAAAGGATCCAAAATTACTTCCTTTGTCTTTAAGCCTATGATCTTTGATACAAACAGTCATTTTCTACGACACTCTCAGGTATACACCCATCAAGGGGAATACAGGAAATCTGGCCAGCCACATCTATCTGCTTCTGTTTGGCTAATCTACACAGCAGGCAAGCAAGGGACCTTCACGAAAGAGTAAGAATTTTACTTCTCCTCAACGGCAGCAGTACTGGTGCTATCATTATATGCTGCATCAGCTGAAGACGTGTCCAAATCGTTCAGTCCCAACTCTTCGTTCTGCTCGAATGACCTCTCGTATTCCTCAACTGGATGCACCACAAGCAACACACATTAATAAAACCAACATGTGTTACTACAAGCCGGACAGTTTCTGTAGCAGGTGTACGATGACAGATGACCGCTGACTCTAAAGTCAACGTAAGGGTATGAACTCCGCTCAGTATATTATTTAAGAATGATGAAAACAACAAGCTTAACCCATGGAGAGATCCATCTTGAGGAACAATAGAACTCATTAAGATCAGGATGGATGATTTACTTACATGTTAGTTGTTGGTCCTCTTTAATATCGTCCGTCGCTGGAGCAATGAAAGAATTTGCCAATGCATCATCAAGAATCAAAGTCCAAGGCTTTTCAAGGTTTAGAAGCTGGCAAGAGACACAAACAAATGGCAAGTCGGGAAAATGAGAGACGGAAAAGATGGCACAAAAAGGCAGAAAACCGTGAGGTGCATAAAATGAATACTGGAGGCATCCATGCTTTGACTTCTTAAGGCAAGCAGTCATTTTCCTCCTCTAAACATGATTTATGTCATAGTGGTGCATGAGACATGTTTCATGTTTCAATGAGTGCCACAAAGAAGCAAGGCACCTGAAGCGTTCAATGACACCCTGGGAATCGAATCTGGTACTTACTGGCTAAGTAGTAAGCGTCCAGAGCAACGGGACTAATTGAGATAGTCATGTCTCAATACATGAGCTAATGAAACACCATTGTTGGGTAAAATGGGACATCATGAACCCTTAGGAATAAGGTCGATAATGTGAAAATTAAAAAAAAAAAAAAATGGAAGACCACGACAGTGCACAGTTCGGAGCTGTAGCAGACCTTAATTAGTCTTGATCTGAAATCTAGCCACTTGTTTTTCCTGGATTCCTCAAAGCTATCACCGAATGTAAATCCATGCACTCTCTCAAGACCTGAAACAAAATCACATGTCAAAACAGCTAGAGGCAACCAACCATGTTATATAGGACTGAATCATCTCCTAATCTTGGATATAAAAGGCTGCTGAAAAATCATTGTGGCGCTGTGTAATAAACTCGGGATGGAAAGCCCAGACAAACAACTGATGCGAGAAGACAATTATGACATCACATCCAACCACAATTCTCACTTTCACTGATTTTTGTAACCAAGCCTTCCACTGTTGTCACTAATCCTCCCAAAGTTCCACTAGTGAGTTCCAAATCAAGCTCGGGGATTGTCACACCTGCAGTATCAGACTGGCAAAAACAAGAGAAAGTTAAAGAGGTATTAATCCTTTGCTGAGCCAAAGCACCATATCAATGAGGAACTCCAATGTGATATCTAAAAGATTGAGATAAGTCCAAGTCAACTGCTTTATCATATTAAGTTAAGCAATATTAAACAAGAACCAGTATTTTCAATGACCATCAGACCATGGGCTGCCACCTGCCAGTCAAACAGAGCTAACCATCACATTTGCTATACTGGGGCTGGAACCAGCAGCCAGCCACTTTTCAGACCAGGAATATTCCTGTACGTTTAACTTTTATGATTATCTATGAATTACACAAAACAACTCTGACACAGGTGTGTCAAGACTAATTCCTCAAATCATTTCTGCTCCAACTTCTTTTATCAGGACACTGGAAACAATTATGAATGTTTTCCTCTGGGAAGATCTTTCAGCTGAATAGTAAAACAAACTGCATGTCAATTCACAGATAAGAAAAAGAAATCTAGGAGCTCTGGGTAAACCTTTATGACATCACGACTGAGGTCTTTAACATTCTTCACACAGAGTGTTATTCTCTTTCCCTTTTCTGGAATTGCCCCGCCTGGCTTCAACTGCAACGAAGACATGTATCTACCTCAATTAGGAGACAGAGAACTAACAATGGCTGTGATGGGTTCTCACACACTTCTGAATTTATGTTATCTACCTCAATTACAAGGTATTCATTCTTAATTCTATTATGTTAGAGGCATTTACAAATAAAAAATTTGGTATGGTGCATTGGTGCAAAAACCAGAAAAGAGAGAAAAGACACATGGACCCACTTTTTCGGAGTACATTTTTCAATTTGATGAATTTGAGATTGCACGTGCAATTAAACACATCAGACATCAAAAGTGTCTAACAAAGATGATGTATTTAACAAATTGCTTATAATTGCAAATATCTCCCAAATATACACCCAAAAAAACAATCTGAAAGGTAATACAGATATCATCACGAACCTCAGAACTGCGGTAACCACAGGAATCACAGGTGGATGCCATCACAATTACTTCTTGAAAGTATGGGATGTCTGTATAGTGTCAAGGTCAATCATGCTCATCGAGAAAGTCAAAAGCTGATGATTAAGCCAATGTGAGGTTAACATATGTTTCCATGGTCATACTGAAATATTAAACTGCTCACATAAGCACAGAAACCAAACCAGAAGAAATATCAAGGATACTCGTGACAAACATCCGAGTTTCGCTCCTGACAGCACAAGCTCCACAAGTTGACGGGAATGTCATCACCTGTAAAGAAGCATGAATAACAGCCAATACCAAACTTCAACTTACAAGGAAATTAAGAACGTGGTTCCCAGTCAGTAGCTGACCTCTTCTGGTGAAGTGTATCGGAACAAAGCTTCAGAGATTTCCGCACTATTACTCTGAGCAATGGCTCGATGACCAGCTACTGCTCCAATTGATCCATGAGGTTCTACTTTTCCTGAATTGGCATCATCATTCTCTGTTCTCTCAACAGATGCTGTGGCCACAGGTTCTCCAGGCTGTGTTGGATTAGGTAGATAGCCCAAAGATGCTTGTTGCTCTGGAGTTCGATCGTAGAACTTGATATTCAATGCTGGATCTGGTGATGGAGCACACCTAGTCACACAAAATGTTCTCAGAAGATTATCCAATATTAGAGGACAATAAGAAATTTCCTTCAACGTTAACATATTGCCTTACGGGTTCTCTATAAAGCTGTTTCCAGCAGGATCATCCAAGATGATAGTGAACGATGAATCTCCCCTAGCACAAGCTCTTAACTTTGACAAGAATTGATCTATTGCTTCAGCAGTTTCAGGATTCACTTTCTAAACAAGCACAGCAAACACTACTTTAAGAAAAGAGAAAATAATGATAAAGCATCAGCCAAAAGTGATTAATGGGAAATTGGAGACGCACCCTGCGTTCGTCTTGAAGTGCTTGCAAGCCATCAGCAGCACGCATCAAAATTCCTTCCAACTGCCAATTATAAAAGCGTCAAAATAAGAACAGAGGATTGAAACCAAGGACGTAATATTTCTGGCACCTCATGCTTAAATGTTAAACCAACATGAATCAAAGTATAATAAAACAATGGCCCACTCAACAAGTGGCTGCAACAAACATGCTTCTAAATCATTAACTGTTTGAAATGATTCCTGGTACACCATTGAGACCTATTATGAGCTTGGTTTCTCAGTAAGATGTATTTCAAATTTTCAACACTCTGAGGTGAATGTAGTTTAGGTTTCTACATTCCGGACAAGGAACATCCAATCACAAATTGTTCAAAAGCGTGAATCTTGTTTCCTTGAATGCATCACCTATCGCCGGACTGACTAAGTGTTAATTTAACCTACAGTTTAATGAGTTTAATCTTTGTTTCATGTCCTTCATGAATTATTTGACCTCAGGTTGATTTACAGTTTTTTGAAACGTAAAATACTGTGAGACCAACCAAACTACTCATTTAAGGCACCTTCTGTCGTGGTGACATTGGCTCTCAGAAAGAAACAGGTGTCGTTTCATCAAGGCGGCATTATATCCTCGTAAAGCATCAGGATTCGGTGCAACTTATAAGCTTTTAACCAGTTTTTTCCTGAATCTTGAGATTTATCTTTTAACCAGTTTTTTCCTGAAGCTTTTAACAAATATGAGTGTCAATCAAGAAAATGGATCAACAAGAAAAAACCTGAGCGAAACCATTGTTTTTATTAAAAAAGGCTAGTTCTCTGATGAAACATACCGTTGATAGGCTACCACGCTGCGCCTCAGGAGGAATCTCAAAGTCCAGTTCAGGAATCTGCTCAAAAGAATGAGCAAACAGATCAATATTCAAGTCAATTAGTAAATAAGAAGCAAATTTGGGATCTTAAACGATGCTACATGCAAACTATTAAGCAAAACACTGTATACGTGACTTTCGCTTCAGCTGCTGAACAACTATTTGACAAACCTATATAGAACAACAGAGAACAGAGTATGACTACCATCGCATAGGTCCAAAATCCCCCACCAGGAAAGAGGAGGGGGGGGGGGGGATGTTTAGTTACTGACAACATATAAAAGCAGATACCTAAGGTGTTGTTTGCCAAAACCAAGGAAAAATCATATCGAGAATCAGGTTACCTTTATGGTTGCAGATTCAGATTTCACCACCTGACGATCGAGGATCTGCATTACCAAATGTACATCACTCCAAGATCACTAGTTGAGACAAATCGTGAATAATAAAAATAAGACCTCAAGTAAACGCCATGAATTAGCCTTGCCAAAGATTATCACGTACATAGGGTGCAAGGGACGTACACAGAGCTGCTTTATCAGTGAAAAATGGTAAAGGGTTATTAATCTCTGTAAGTCAAGAAGTTTGAGAAGCTGGTTCTTCCAAGTATATAACATGGTCTTGTTAGGTCCGTATAAGGTTTGAATTGCCTTTTTAACTGCTTGAGAAGAGAAATACGGATGACAAATATATGTCCAGTCTGATGTTCGCACTAATTTATTTATGTTTGGATGTTATTGTTAGATGAAATGATGAAAGGCAAGGAAAATCCTGTGTAACAAAATAAATAGAGCTTTTAAGCCATTGCAACTATAATCCGATGGTACAACTGAAATGAGCATAAAGGACTTTCTTATAAAAACAGTTCTACCTTCTGATTGCCTGCTGTGACATTCAAACAGTAGCAACAACCCCGTGGCTGGATTTCACCCGCAAACTGGACTTCATTATTCCTGACAAAAAGCAGAAGAAGGTGGAATTACAAAGAGTTTACCAATAGTTTGTTACTTGTATATTAACCATAACAATCAGGTTACCTCTCATCACAATGAGGGCATTCAAAGGCTGATAACAGTATCTGCAGCAAGAGCACATTTGACTTGAGTCTACTGTTTCCTTTTGCATAGGACTCAGTAACAGCTAACTAAGTAAGGCATATAGAACTTTCTGTGTTAAAGGAACCTACCAGCAGGGAAATAAAATGAAAGTACAAAAACAAAAGGAATCCTATGACTTAATCTGCCATTCGCTGCAGATTAAACCATGACTGGGGCTCGATTTTCACTATCAATATATCTATCTCAAAGGAAATTTTTTACAATACATTGCATGTGGAAAAATAATCAGAATGAAGAATACAACAAGGAGAATTGGAGCGAGTATGGACAACACCTTTCTGAAGTGAGGAATTGAAGTCAATAATAACCTTGTTACTCCCTGCCAACCAAAACAACATTGCCAAATAAGGTTAGAAAAATAGACGCTACAAGTGAGAAAATGGCATTCCTGATAGACTAATCGTGATAGCAAGAAGAACATGCAGAACGACTGAAAGTCCGAAACAAAAGAAGAACAAGGGGAGCAATAAAATAAACTTGCTTGGAAGTTCAGAACAACAAATGCTACCCTGGAATTTGTAAGTTCATCAACATTGGTGGACTTCCAAACTAAAGTAGGAGATTATGCCTCTACAAAAATTCTCACTTCTAGATTGTTTATGACAACCATTGGTATTAAGCATCAGAGGCAGCTAAGTGAAACTCTTTATTAGCCCTTTTCCAGAAACTGGTTCCTCATTCCAATTGTGAACCTACCACTCATCCCCGTAGCTTCCCAATATCAATGGTAGGAACCCAGAATGTCAATTAACATAACAGGAAGAACAAAAGTAAGTATACTGATGCAATGGAGAACAAGAAAAACTAAAAGGGTTTGAGCACGAGAAACGAACATTTTGGCCGCAACGCATACAGAGGCTCTCGAGTTCATAAAGTGGGGCGTCGAGGTCGTCGTCTCCAGCAGAAGCGACTGCTTCGGCCACCGACCTAACGTCCATGATTTTCTCCTTACTACGACCCGCCTCCATATCCAGTTTTGTGTCAGAACTCTGGCTTGGCTTCGTTTTTTATTGTTGCAACCGGCGGCGGCAAAAGGCAAGAGCTTTCAAGTTCCGGGGTTTTATACAAAAGGCGGAGCTTGTTCTAAGAACAGTTGAGAATAAATAGGAAGGGCCGAAGGGGAATAAATAAAAGCGAAATTGAAATTTGTTGTAGTAGTTTCTGCTGCTTTCTTGAAGCGACGAGCCAACGACAATAAAAAAAAAATATTAAATGCTTCTCCTTATTATTATTTTTTTATCAATACTAATGCACTAAATTTCATCAAATTTTTTTATATTAAACGTGTATAATGAGAGTGGTGCTACAAAGATGGATAATTTCTTGAAAATTGCTTGTGTTGTACTCTTGAAAAAATGAACTAGTGTTTTGCCTTGCCGTACCAATACATACTTGTATCCTATTTCATCATAATTTCGATGTTATACATGCAATAGAAAATAAGCGAGAATGTTACCAACTACTAAGATGAATGGCCTCTTATAAATTCCTCGTATTTACCTTGATTAATGTTTTGTCTTGCAATACCAACATTAGTTTTCGATCTCACAAGTGATGACATACCAAATAGCAATATGTGGTCGATTTAGTAGTTTTTTCTATACTAGTAGAGGATTAGTGATATGTGTCTAGAGTCTAAGACTCCTGTAGGTTGTAGCTGTTATCTCTGTAGAAAACCAGTGATATACATTATCGATTACAAGTTTGAAGTTTCACAATATACACTGCTAATAAGGCACCACGTCATTACAACAATGTACAGTATCACTACTAAAAGGACATCATACCACTACTAACTAACCAGCGCAGCGCAGTTCAATAACCGGAAATCACTACTAGTAAGGCACCACATCACTACTGAAAATGTACAATACCACTAGCAGAAAGACATCATATCAGTACTAACACATCATCATTATTTCACTACTGAAAATGCACCATGTCATTAGAATCCAACAAGCTCCTACTGTCTGATAACCAGTGTGGCTCCTGCGACGCCTACTTTCCTGACAGAGGCTGCAATTTTCAGGCTAGGGGGCAGCCGGCAGGGCTCTTCTGGCGTCTCTGAAGGTTAAAATGAACCCGATCTTGGTCATGAGATGAAAACAGAGAACATTATTTCAAACGACAGTGTGTTTGCATTTGTCGACTTTGATTTCATTGAACAGAAGAAGATTGTAGTTTCCTGTTTACATCTGGGAAAAGCTCTCGGCGCTTTGTCATTGCAAGGTGGTCACCTCTAACCACTGCCAAGACCTGCAATGCCAAGGAAGCCAGATGAGTTTTTTTCTAGCGGCGGAACCAGGAATGCATTTAGGAACTGCATTTTAGACAACAAAAACAAATTCCCACCTGGCTCATTGAGAGGCAGTGGCCAGCAGAAGCAGAAGGATTACTCCTCAGGCAAAGCAAAGCTGCATTTACCAACTGCTGAATCATCCTGCTATCGTTCATCTCCTCCACCACTCTGGGATCCAACACGTCATCTATGGAACCCTTCTCCAGAAGTGGCAGTGCCTACAAACACAGCAACAGCAAACACATAAAATGAACTACCACAGTTTGGTACGATTTCCCGAAGAAATATACTCATTCAATCATTCTTTCTCACCCAGTCAATCAGGCTTTGTCCCACGCCTTGCCTCTGGAACAGCCGGGCACTCATTCCGCTGATGAGCTCAATCAGGAGCACTCCATAGTCGTGTATGTCCACAGCTATCAGTTCATCATGCTCCTCATTTCTCTTCCTTCAACCCCACAGGTAAAGGTAAGGGTAAAGAGAACTCTTCACACTGGAACAAGTAATGAACCATTCCACTGTAAAATGGAAAAGACCTACCGTGTTCTAGAGTCAACGTTACTCGTCCCTTCATCTTTAAGGATTCTAGCGGTCGCAAAGTAGGCAAGCTTGAATGACATTCAGATAACACACAAGAGCAGCGACAAGTTTAATCAACTAAGTGAAACCCATGAACAGATAAATCATGAGTTGCTATATGTATATTGTGCAAGCCTTACCATGGTAATGGATCCACAAGATAAGCTAACATAAGAAGAAGAAACAGAGAGGTGAACGATGGCTCCATCAGTCACACATTCTTCATGAAGATACTGCAGGCTTCCACCAATGTCCAGAGCAATGTGCCACCTCGCTTTCCAGGGCAAGTTCTTGGCCAAATCATCAACTACAAATTTAAAGTTACTTTAAAAGCTCAAAAAGTAGCTAGCTCTTTCAAAACCCCAAGATTTTTATTCTTCTTCATAAAATTACCTAGAAGGTTGATTTCCAGATTACCCATGCAAGGGTAGTCGAAAAGCAAGAACAAATTGGTGGCAGTGCAGCAGTGTCCTACAAGGTTCAATATATTCCTGTGGTGGATCCTGGAAAGAATCTTCAGTGTTGGCCAGAAGCGTTCATCGTTTCCTGCAAAGGCTCTTACCAGGACAGGACATCCCTGGAGCATCCCTTCGTATACTCCAATGCCATCTCGCACTTCTAGAACAATGTTCTCTTTAGAGAAACCATGAGTTATCGCTTCAAGTTCTGCTTCTGAAAAAGCTCGAGGAAATCCACTTCTCCATGATACTGGATACCATGCAGGGCTTTGCCCTGCTGATGCTTGCCTGGATGCTGTTGATGATGAGTCATCATCATGCGGAACATTAAGCTTGTTACAAGAAGCAGTACCAGATGTTCCACCTTGTCCATTTCTTGATGGAATCAGAGTTGCCAGATCATTTCCCTTCATCGCTGCAATATTGCAGCCTACTTCATTGTATATGATCATTTTATACTTCTTCAAGTAGCTGCACAGTGACCACCACACACATTAGAACTATCACTCAACATCTCAAGAGAGGAAATCATGTGTTCGCTTTAGCTATAATGCTTACTGTTTTTAAGTTTTAAGAGAAATGAAAAGAAAAGTATGTTTGGTCGATTGGGTTTTAGTAAATGTTAAGTTGCTGGGATATAATATAATATATTAGTAAGAAAATGTAACTGATGGGATTGTGAAGGATTGTTTCATAATAAAGAAATTATTGAACTTTAGGAGACAAAAATTAAGGGTACGACCTTAAGAATATAATCTATTTTGCAATTTCCAAGGAGCAAGTTGGAAACTAAATTCATTTGTGATTGTCTGTTTGTGATACGAATTGTAAACAATTGTTTTAGAAAGTTAAAATTGAAAAAAGTGCTCGTTTTAAGTTTTAATTCAAACTGTTTCTGAAGTTACTTATCTCTTAGCCATAAGAATCGCACCCAATACATAATCCACTCTCTTCTAGAGTCCCTGAGGCTTGAGATGATATAACATGATTATAAGCTCAAATGGCTAATATATCAAGGGGGAGAAGAAGGTCGGCTCACCTATCTAAGATAATCCAACGAGGATTTGAGTTCTGAGCTTGTTCTACTGTGATTTTTATAGGGCAACAGCCAAATGTGAGCTTGACTTCCAAGTTTACCTGCATAGTTAAAAGCACCTGTGTCCAGTAAAATATGACATGGCATTTGGGTATTCTGGGATATGTTGCTGATGAGAATGAAAATTAAAAAGAGTATGAACCTCATTCTTCTTGCATCGTCGATAGAATGGCTGGAGTTTACTCTGACATTGTTGTTTCTTTCTCTCAATTTCTTCTGCAAGTTCCTTGGGTCTTGGCTCTTGTCCTGTTGTTGAACAATCTATTCTTTCCCCTGAAAATTATCAACGGAACTCCAGAAGAAAGCACCACCTTGAACCGCAAACCAATAGAAATAAACGAAAAAAGAGTGGAGAGCTGTCTAGAAAGCCAAAATTTGCTTACAAATTGCAGAGAAGCCCATGCCCATGTTGAACGGGAAGCAAATGTTCTTCACTCCACACCCACCTATAACTCCAAGCACAATAACATTATCTCCCCGTCGAACCACATGCTTGAGAGCCCAATCCATGGCCTCAACATCGTGCTTACTTTGATTACTGTGCATCACAACAATCACACTCTCCCTTGGTGCTGAAGATTTACGAGAAGCAGCACCTTGCCCCTGAGGAGCCATTTCTTCTTGGCCAAGTTTGGTCGACAACAGAGTAATGAATGAGTATGAGTTTTGAGGTATCAACTTCATAAAGTCAGACAGATGGAAATATAATAGGATCCACCATAACCAGCGAGTGGAACAAGGTGGCAGTTTAGTTATCAACTACTTCCCTCGTTGCTTCCCAAGAGCACAAATGTATTTTTGCGCTGGGAACATTCCAAAAAAATTCACATATTCATAGGAACACAATTATGAGTATTGATGTATCCTCATTCTCGACGGTGTTGATGGCACCCGTGTCTTTTGTTTGTTTCCTCCTTACTTGCATCTCAAAGAGCTAAACTGTCCATTTGCTGAGACGACAAACGATGTCCACCCAGACACAGATAGATTAGGTTCACAATACAACACTTACTTGACTCTCTCATCCAACAATCAAAAGTTGCTACCCAGAAGTAGACGATTTGTTCATTGAGAACAAGTAATTGCAACGAAAACTCCAAAATACAACACAGATGAAAGCTATCCCAACAACTTGCTTCAACAGGGAAAGAGGTTTAGAGAATCGGGACATGGTTTCTTCTTACTTGCCATTGAGCTTCTCAATCACAGTGATTAGCCCTTGAGTTCCAAGCTGTCCATTCCCATTGGCCACCATCCCTAAAGAGCTGCTTACCCAGAGCAGCACCAGGCAAGACCATCACCCTGAGCCACACCGAAAATCTCGCGTGCCAAAGCTGGACGCCGCCAGGATTTAGGCCGGCAAGAATGCCCTGGCTCACAAAAGACAACCGATCGAACATCTGATGGGTGTCCCACCATGGTAAATACCACTTACCAGGCCCGGCCCAGGCCCTGTGCTGGCCCGATCTACAGCACAGGGCCTCAAAATATATGGGGCCTCAGCCCGGCTCATATACAGTACATGTATATTAAAAAAATTAACCTGATGGGAAACGGAGACTCTTCTTAATCTAATGGGCCGGGCCCCGCCATGGAGTTAGAGAAGCAATGGACTGTCGGGCCGGGCTGAAATGAAAATGGGCTGTACGGCTGGTTATGGGCTAATTGGATTAGTGCTTCGAAATGTGTTTATTTTTTGTGGCAGTGATTTTGCTTGGGCCGGCTCTTCATACTCTTTTTTTTTTTTTTTTCAGGGTGGAATCATTGGATTAGTCCTTGTCCAAGGGGAAGCATTAAATTCTAAACATAATATTACGGTAGAAAATGCACAATAACTATTGTGTATTAAACTAATTATCTTTGTCTCTGAATCTAATTAATAAAACCCACAAGACAGCAAACGCCCAAATTTAATGATTCTTTTTAACAATTTTACACATCACCACTAGGATATTCAGTATCCATGTCTCCATCATGACATTAGGTTACTCTTTTACTAAAACAAAAACCTACCACCACGTAAATGTCAAACGACAAATAATTTTGTGCAAGAAAACGTGCACAAAATTAGATTCAGAGACCATGACTATTTTGTGATTGATATATAATTTTATAATATAAAGTTGGACATTATATTGTTCAATATTATTATTCTGGTTAAAGAAGCGTAAAAAGAAGCAGATGGTTGAATTGTTTACTCAATCTAAAAAAGAAGCTCTTCATAAATTTTTTGGGAAAGAAAACGATTATGATGGTAATATTGCTCCTGTTGATGTTAATGATGTTTTGGATACTGCTCTTATTGTTGTTGAAAATTCTTATGCAAATGTTGATTGTATTGAACTCCTAATGGTGGATAAAACTAATTTCTTATGATGGTTTTCAAAAAAAAAAAAATGATAAATTTAATAAATTTTTACTTTAATAAATTTGCAAAGAAAAAATTTTAGGGCCACATTTTTAATTTTCGAACAGGGCCTCCGAATATCATGGGCCGGCCCTGCCACTTACTCGATTGAGCAACGGCGAATGGAGAGTCGGCGAGACGGCCCCCCAAAGAGAGTAAAGGCGCAGCCTTTGACGGAGTCCGGCCGTAGACTGTGACAGAGTAACCGGCGGGCAGCAGGCGCGAAGCCATGGCAGCACCCATCACGCCGATGCCGATTCAAACTACGCGAGTTTTTGAAGCTGAGATGGGTTTTGGGTAAGGGCGGGTCTTCAACAATCGCAATTTCAAGAAGGGTCGTACTATTTGTAGCCCTAAATTATTTTTATTTGTAGCCCTAAATTATAAAAAGTACAATAATACCCATAACATTTTTTTTTTATAAATGGATGCATAGCATCTCAGCTTTCATTCAAAACCAGACGGGGTTCGGAAATCCCCTGATAGTCATACAACGCCAAATGGCGCAGAGTAGGATCAGAAACAGGAACAACATGAAAACCAAGAGGCAAGGAATGCCCCCGAGTAGCAAGAAAGTCAGCACACTTATTACCCTCACGATAAATATGATGGATCGAAACCTCCCAATCTCTATGGAGGAGCTCAGAGAACCTGTGGACAATGGCTGCATGATGATGGTCTGAATCACGGGTATTCAAGAGCAGTTGAACAGCACACTGCGAGTCCAACTCCACTCGAACCCGGCGGTGTCCAAGGCTCCAAGCCAACTGAAGTCCCTCTACAGCGCCTCTCAACTCAGCCCGGGTGATAGAACAACTCCCCAGGTTAATAGCAAATGCCGACAAGCAGCATCCTGTGTGATCTCGTAACAAACCACCCGCAGCAGCGTGGTTTGTATCAGTGTGAACGGAGCCGTCAGTGTTGAGAGTAACCCACTCGGGAGGTGGCGGCTGCCACGAGATCTCCACCTCCGTTCTAGCGGGACGGTGAGGCGGATGAACAAGCCTCTCCATGTCCATGGCATTCTGCACTACATTAATCCATGCCAGGACGCGCTGAAGGGAACTATCAGTTGATATGGTCTTGCCAGCGAAGACTCGATCATTCCTGGTCTTCCAAAGAGACCAGCAGGTAATGCCAAACTGCAAGGCGTGTTGCTGGTGACGAATGTTGTTCATAATCCAATCCTGCAGATTAGCACCGAAGAAAGTCTGGTATTCAGAAGGCTGAATGAGATGCATCCAAGTTAACCTGGAAAAGGTGCAGTCCCGCAACACATGCAGGACTGTCTCGGGACCTTGATTGCAGTAGGTACAGCCGCCGGCGCGGGCCAGGTGGCGACGCTGTCTTTCCGCATTGGTGAGAAGTCTCTCCTTTGCTGCCAGCCACAGGAAGTGATTAACCCGAGCCGGACCTGTCCACCGCCAGAGATCTTTCCAGTTGAGCCCCGGTGTTCCTTCCTCCAACTCAGCAGCGATGCGATAGGCAGATTTCACACGGAATTTCCCATCCTGCTCCGGGCCCCAGGTCGCGACGTCCTCGCCAAGATCGTCTGCAGGAGGCTGAATACCCTGGACCTGCAAAACCATTTCGTGAGGTAGAAAAGACTGGAGCAGGGGGATGTTCCACTCACCGTTAGGGAGAACAAATTCCGCCACTGGTTGATCCAGGTGAATTGGATGGTCGACAAGAATGGCATGGTCCAGCAGGATTTCGCCACTATCTAACCACCGGTCAGTCCAAAACTTCGTGTCCCTGCCATCCTTGATACTCATCTGCATCCCTCTGGCCATGATAGGCCAGGCTTTTCTAATCCCCCGCCATAGGACTGAGGTTCTTGTAGAGGATTTAGCCTGGAGCACTCCCTCCACCCGCCTGAAATACTTAGCCTGCAAAACACGCACCCACAACTCATCCAAATCCTTAACAAACAACCAAGCCAACTTAGCCAGGAAAGCCAAGTTTAGCTCATGGGCCTTTCGGAGTCCCAGACCTCCGTCCTCCTTAGGTTTGCACAACCCCTCCCAGTGAACCAGATGCACCTTCTTAGTATCAGCCGTGGAGCCCCAAATAAACCCACGTATCTTCCTATCAATCTGGTCGCAGATAGACTGAGGTAGGAGCGTGGTTTGCATCGCATAAATAGGTAAAGAGCTCAACACCGACAGAGCCAAAGTGACTCTTCCCGCCAAACTCAGGCTCTTGGCCCTCCAACCTACCAACTTGTTATCCAAACGATCCAAGATGTAGCGGTATGTATCACGAGTGACCTTACCATGTAAAACCGGTACGCCTAGGTACCTCCCAAGATCCTGTGTTGCCCGAATGTCTAGTACCTGTGTGATGGAGGAGCTCACCGATCTCGTGGTATTGCCGGAAAAGAAGACAACTGATTTATCCTTGCTGACTTGTTGCCCTGACGCCATGCAGAAGCTGTCTAGACAATCCATCATAACCCGTCCCTGCTCAACAGTAGCCTCTGCAAACAGAACAATATCATCAGCAAAAAAGAGGTGGGAGAGAGGAGGTCCACCTGGGTTGGTACGAATAGGGCGCCACCGTCCCGCTGAAATCTCACAATCGATCCTGTGGCTGAGTCTCTCCATGCACAGAGTAAAGATGTACGGGGAGAGCGGACACCCTTGTCGAAGACCCCTAGAAGGGGTAAACGGCTCTGTACAGCTCCCATTCCATAAAACCTGCATCGTTGAAGAGGTGATGCATTGCATAATGACCTCTACAAGATTAACGGGAAAACCCACCGCCCGTAGCGTTTCCCGGATGAAGCTCCAGCTCAATCTGTCATAGGCTTTTGCCAGGTCCAGTTTCACCACCATCTGACCACGGCTCCCTTTCTTCAGACCCATCGAATGGATCACTTCCTGCAGGATGATGATGTTCCCGGCAATACTTCTTCCTGGGACAAAGCTCGACTGAGTTGGGTGGACCAGGCGCCTCATAAATGGCTTGATCCTGTTGACTAGGCACTTCGTCAGGGACTTATAGACCACGTTGCATAGTCCAATGGGCCTGAATTGGGAAATACACTCAGGGCTTTCTTTTTTAGGGATAAGGACCAGAAGGGTCTCATTGATGCTTCTTATCAGGCTTGGGGAAGTGAAACAGTCAGACACAAACTGGGAAAAAGAATCAGCCACCGTACTCCAACACTTCTGATAAAAGACTGGCGGGTAGCCATCCGAACCCGGAGCCTTCATACCACCCATACCTTTCAAAGCTCCCCTAACCTCTTCCATCAAGATAGGTGCACCGACTGAGGAAGCCTCAGCAGGCGTAAGCCCTTCGAAAGAAGCAGGGAAGGAAGGACTCGCACCCACTTCAGCCGTGAAGAGGCCGATGTAAAACTCTCTGGCAAGCAACTGGAGCTCTTTCTCGTCGTAAATCCACACACCAGCTGCGTCTTTCAGACCCAAAATTTTGTTGAACTTCCGCCTCTTGAGGGTAGATAAATGGAAGTACCTGGTATTACGATCCCCCATTACCAAATGATTTTGCCGGGATTTTTGCAGCCAAAGCAGCTGCTCATGCCAGAGAGTGGAATCTAGTTCTTCGCGGGTTCGGCGCTCTTCCTCAAGTGAAGTCCCGGTCGCAGCCTCTTCATTATTCTTCTCCAGCCTGCTGAGTCGGGATATAAGAGATTTTTTCCGTTGCAATATATGCCCAAAAGTCTCTCGGTTCCATCGGTGGAGGTCATCAGTCAATTGTTGCGTTTTCAGTGGGAAAGTGCCATGCTTTTCCCAAGCTTCATGCAGAACACGCGGAAAATCCTCGTGAGTCAACCAAGCAGCCAAGAATCTGTACGGCCTCGGAACACGGGTCTTGACCATAGGTGAAGCTCGAACCAGAATGGGCCGATGATCCGAGCCCATGCGATGCAAATGACGAGTGTTCGTCGAGGGGTACTTAACCAGCCATTGGCGATTGCAGAGAGCACGATCCAGGCGTTGAGAAAGATTACCCCTTCGCCAGGTGAACCGTGGCCCAGAGAAGTTCACATCAAAAAGCAGACATTCATCGACACACCGGCGAAATGGTCGGACGCGCGTTTCATCGTATGCTGCTCCACCCATCTTGTCCCTTGGCCCAAGAATCGAGTTAAAATCCCCTGCAAGGATCCAAGGTAACGATGAAATACGAGAGAGACGTCTGAGCTCGTCCCAAAGATCCGTTCGCGGCGTGGATTGTGGACTACCATACACTGCCGAGACCAACACTGGTGAGCTGCTAGCACCCCTCCGAGCACACTTCATATGAATCATTTGAGTCCAACTAGTCAACTCTGTTACTTCCAGGTTACCTTTCTGCCATAAGACCCAAATGCCCCCTGCAAAACCAACAGCGTCGACCATTAGGACACCATCAAAGCCTGTTCTCGCAATGACGGCCCTAGCAACATCACCACTTATACGAGGCTCGAAAATGAAAACCATATCCGGCCTGGAAGGACCAGAAAAGGAACGTAAATGGGTAATAAACCGGTCATATCCTGCCCCTTGGCAGTTCCAAGCTAAGATGTCTAACATGATAAAGAAAAGGAGACGAAAAACACGAACTCCACAAGGAAAGTAGCTCGGAGAGAGACTTCCCTGAAGACGGCCGAGGCCGCGCTAGAGTTGAGCTGGAACGGGAGTTTTTGCTCCCTTGGAAGACGCCCCGGTGGGTTTGGAGCTGGGCAAAGACGTAGAGACAGGAATAATCCTCGCTGTAGCCACTGCACGTTGTGTGCCTTTGGACTATGCAGAACTAGAGCCATTCTTCTTGGTTTGCGTCCCTCCTTTACCTGGGTCCAAGCCAAGCTTCATTTTCGCGCCCGTGACATGCTCGGCGTGAAAAATAACGCTTGTTCCTGAGGAGGTGACTGGAACATCAACGAGCTCGGCCCTCTGCTTATCAACCATCGGGGGAATATTCATTGCCCGGTGCCCTTCCCCGGCCTCCTGTTGCATGGCAGCTGCTGCTGGCTTCGTCCCCGTAGGCACAGGAAAGGCATCAGCTGGGTCGTTCTGCTGACCTGTGGTTCCCTGAGCACCACTCTCCGAGACCAATTCCATTTCCACCTCCATCTCCTTCTGTGGAGACTCATCACCCAGGATCGCAAATCGTGACCCACCATTGTCAGGAACAGTGCTAGTAACCTTATTCGCCTTCACCGGAACTTCCTTGGTCTTGTGCACCGAGGTTTTATTGTTACGAGGCTTAACCATCATCCACTCCCCGTACAACTTTTCGGGACCCTTCATCGCCTCCGGTTCAGGTGTCGATGAGCTGGGGGTCGCTGGAACTTCTGTGCGTAACGTGGGGCACGCTTTGACCGAGTGGCCATATTTCCCACACTCGGTGCAAATATTATGCAAGCCCTCGAAGGTGATGTAGTAAGTCCGGCCTTCTATCTTAAACTGGGACAACAACGGTTTCGTGAGGTCCACCTCCACGCAAACCCGACCATACTTCACCCGATCACCTGTCATAGTGGCGCGATCCACTCTCACCGGACGGCCAATACGAGAAGCAATGCGCTCCACTGCTTCATGATTAACAAACTCGATAGGTAGGTCGGGAAAACGTGCCCAAACCAAAGTGGAAGCCACTTCCGCAAATTTGGGGTTGAAATCCTTCCTCCATTGTCGAACTGTGATGTAATGCTCTCCGATCCGCCATGGACCACCCATGGCCGCTAGCTCATAATCCATCTGGTTGGTAAAGCGCACCACATAGTAGCCATACGACATACTCGAGATTTGAAGCACACCTGTCTTGGCCCATAGAGCCTGTAAACGTTTAGAGATCACAGGGAAGGGGAAGGTCCTCCCCAGGACTTTAACAATCAGAGCTGAACGCCATTTGCGCCTATAACCCTGCTTCTCCCTTGACGTAAAAGGAATCGTAGGGCATCTCGGATCATCATCCTCCGGGACATCATCGTCCTTGTCTTCCTCCCTCATTGCCTCCGCCACGTCTTCAGAGTCGGATTCCGCAATGTACCAGGAATCTTCCGAGAGGATCTCCGAGAAAAGCTTCCTCGGGCCTGATCCCCAAGCCGCCGGAGAGGTCGGACTTGGACTCGCAGGGCGAGATTGGGAGGGTTTCCCTCCAGGAATATTTTGATCTTCCATTGGCTCGTCTGCAATAAACAGTGGGTTGGTACTCATGGGTTTTGCCCTCTTCTTGGCCTGCTGGGTTTCACGCTCGCTTTTATTGTTTGGTGAAGATGAAGCTGAGGGGGGTCTGCGTTGGCCGGAGTTAACGTCCGGTTGGTGTGAGGCCGGGGGATTGGCCCCCGGCGCAGCGCCGTTCATTGTCCGTCGTCGCTAGGGTTTTCGCTTGGGGGAACGCTCCGGGAAAGTCGGAGCTCAATAAACATTAACTACTAATACCCATAACATTTAAATACATTTACTTCACACATTCCAAGACCAAAACATTCAAACACTTTTCCAAACACAATCCAACAACACTCGCCGCCGGCGACCGCCACCTCCCGCCGGCGACCGCGCCACCTCCCGCCGGCGACCGCCACCCCCGCCGTCGATCGCCACCTCCGACGACGACAGCTCCTTTCTCCGACGAGGTACGTCGGCAAATAACCCGACAACGACGGACGAACGTCCTGCCGGGACGTCGCCGGCGACGGACGAACGTCCTGCCGGGACGTCGCCGGCGAATTATTTTATTTTTAATTTTTTGTTAATTTAAATTTGTGAAGTATATTAGATTTTTAAAATATATTAATTTAGATTTTCGGTTATTATTTTAGATTTTTTAATTATCATATTGTTTAGAAAAATTTGTTCTAATATTATTTTTAAAATGAAGTTATTGAATTTTTATTTTTCATATTTCGAAACTAAGTTAATGTTTCCTGAATTTAGACTTTTAATTGCCATATTTTAAGAATATGTAGTGTTTTTATTATTGTAATTTATTATTTTATAAATATTGTAATTACCATATTTTTAGTAGGATTTTTTATAATATTATTTGTAGAATGAAGTTCTTTAACTTCATTTTTTATTATTTTGAAACTAAGTTAATGTTTACTAACAATAATTTAGACTTTGAAGAATATTTAGCGATTTTATTGTAGTTTATTATTTTATGATATTGTAATTATCATATTTTTTAGGATGGATTTGCTATAATATTATTTTTAGAATGAATTTCTTGAATTTCATTTTTTTATATTTTGAAACTATGTTAGTATTACTGAAACTATTTTTTTTGTATGTATTTCTTGAAGTTGGTCAAGTTCGGACTTCCGGATATCACTACATCAGATAATGAGTAACACGGTTAGTGAGTTAAACTTTTTAATTTTGGAATCATGTTGAATTATTTATTGTTATGATGAAGTCTAGTAATTGATAATATGCTTAAATATTTGCTTTACAATGATACATATTGTTTGAAAAATGTTGAATTATTGATTTTACTATCTTGTTGATAATTTAATTAGTACGTGTCTACTTGTTGCATGTTGAAATATTAGGATTTGGTAGTTAATCATGTTAAATGTGCTAATTTTTTATTGAAAATGTATTGGATTAGTTAATGTTCAAATATTGAATAATTGTTAACAACGTTGTGTTGTTGATAATTTAATGAGTACGTGTCTACTTGTTAAAAACTTTTTATTGCATATTGAAATATTAGGATTTGGTAGTTAATCATGCTAAATGTGCTAATTTTTTGTTGAAAATGTATTGGATTAGTTTATGTTCGTATGATAATTGTTAGTTCTCATATAATAAATTTTTGGGTGTGCCTACGGTGACATGCATGTCACGGTGACTTGCACTTTCCGGTCGACCTCAGTTAGGATTAGGTCGACCTCACATAGAATTCGGTCGACCTCATATAGGATCCGGCCGACCTCATTTAGGATTCGGTCGACCTCATATAGGATCTGGTCGACCTAATATGTTGTTTCAGTGTAAAAACAGTTCATGGTGCCTAATTTGGATATTCATATCATACAATTGGCTAGATGGAAATTGAAGACTAATGACTTGTTTTGAAGCTGGAGTATCCCTCTACATATTGAAGTGATTGAGAGCTCGATAGGAAGTCTAGAAGACCATTTTTGGACCTCGTCAAAAGGCTATGCCAAAACTGGGAAACTGCCTAGAAATGGCTAAGTCTGGAAACGTGTTTGTGAAGCCTATTTTTGAGCTCAATTCGAGAAGCATGAATGCGAGTCGAGTCTAGGAGCCTCTACCACGTTAAATTAGGTATGTTTTTATACAAATTCAAGGAATTGGATGAAAGATTGGATATCTTTAAGGCTTCAAACAAAAGGGTCGAAGTTGCTACGAAGGCTGTTTTTCTGGCAGACTTCGAGCACAAGCAAGCTGCCAGAAAAACAGCCTTCGTAGCAACTTCGAGCCTTTTGTTTGAAGCCTTAAAGATATTCAATCTTTCATTCAATGCCTTGCCTTTGTATAAAAAAATACGTAATTTAACGTGGTAAAGGCCCCTGGACTTGACTCGCATCCATGCTTGTCAAATTGAGCTCCATAGTAGGCTTGACAAACACGTTGCCAGACTTAAGCCATTTTCAGGCAGTTTCCCAGTTTTGGCATAGCCTTTTGGTCAGGTTCAAAAATGGTCTTCTGGACTTTCTATTGAGCTCCCAAGTACTTTAATATGTAGAGGGACACTTCAGCTTCAAAACAAGCCTTTAATCTCCAATTTCCATCTAGCCAATTGTAAGATATGAATCTCCAAAGTAGGCACCATGAAACTGTTTGTACACTGAAACAACTGATTAGGTCGACCTGATCCTATATGAGGTCGACCGAAAAGTGCATGTCACCGTGACATGCATGTCACCGTAGCAAAGTCCTAAATTTTTATATTCAAATGTTCAAGGTTCGTATATTTGTCTATTATAATTTAACATTCGTATATAATTTCAATTACAATAAAATTCCCATCACAATATAATGTTCAAAATTGTAATGTATTTCACGATGAATTCTAACTTAATTTTCTTGCTTAAATTGTCTATTATAATTTAACATTCGTATATAATTTCAATTACAATAAAATTCTCATCACAATATAATGTTCAAAATTGTAATGTATTTCACGATGAATTCTAACTTAATTTTCTTGCTTAAATTGTCAATTGCAATTTAAGGTTCGTACAACAATTAATACTTACTATGAAATAAAATTCTATATTTAAATTATTAAACTTTCTTATATTTATCAATTACAATTTACCTTTCCTATCTAATTTCAATTAAATGAAAACATTAACCGACATAATTTTCGTATATATTAAATATTAACATATTTAAAGAAGATAATTAACATACATAATTTAAACAGATAATTAGAGTAATTAACCTACATTAAATCATAATAATTAAAGCATATAATTAACCTACATAATTAAAGGAGGAATCTGGCGAGGTGAATTGGTAGGGAAGGGAGTGTTTGGTTGGAGTTGTAACAAGTTCAATATTTTAAAAGGAAGGAAGGGTAAAATAGTAATTACATTCTCTTAGGGCTATAAATAAGAAAAAACTAGGGCTATAAATAGCAATTCAGTTTCAAGAATCTGTTATCTGTGCAATGGGCATCAGTAACTGACAAAAGGAAAATATGACAATTCCACCCTCAACTATGTACGTTTATTATTTAAGTCCCTCAACTATTTTTGTTTCCTATATGGGACTTCGTTATTTTCACAAATTCCCAATCGAGCCTCAAGTTTTGTTTCTTACAACAAACAGAAAAGAAAAGCTACACAGAAAATCGTTCGAGGATCAGTTGCTGAGCTCCATGAACAAGCCCCTCAACAACTTGCGACGCAGTAAGAATTTCTTCGATGAGACCAACACCTTGACCTGCATACATCGCCATGCTCTCAATGTCACCCGTTGCCGTTCCATTTGGCACCGCTCCTCCAAATCTACGTATCTCTTTTTCCTATAAAACCATAGTCGAAGTGGTTAACGAGTTGAAATTTGCACTTCCAAATCTAAGAAGACAAAAATACCTGGAAAAAAAAAACCATACCTGTCCATGAATAACAGTATGTCCAATAATGGGTTGATCGAGTTCAGTAACATGAGGAAGGAGCGACTTCCTCTGTTCTATGAAAAAGGGAGTGACCAGAGCTCGTTGAGGCGCGTTCGGCCATCGAGCTCTTCCAAAGACGTCTGTGTACTCAGTTTGATCCAGCTCCACCAGTTTCTTCTTGTATGTTGGATGCGCATTGCTTTCCTTCGTCGCAACAAACCTGGTTATACCCACAATCCATCATCATCATATGACTACAATCAGACAGATAACAGATTGCAGACTTGTCTGAGATGGATATGGTTGGTGTAATGTACCTGGTGCCAAGGCAGATACCCTGAGCTCCAAGAGCCAGAGCAGCAACATAGCCACGAGCATCCACGATCCCACCTGCTGCAATTACTGGTATCCCTTTGTTCTTCGCAAGATCGACCACCCTTGGCACCAGCGAGATTAGCCCTTCCTGCGTTCGTCAACAAGTGTACTATAAGCAACTTGATGCGTCAAAAATCAGTTAATCCAAATAATTCGAGTGGTTGGAAATGGTTTGATAACATATCTTATATCATACAATAACATGATGGACATATGATCTATTGAAATGCTTAGATGGTCTATGTGCTGCAGTACTTATGAAACCATGCCGACGATCCGACAAGAAAATTTCCCTACCAAAACCTAAATCGATAAGCGACTTTAGCAGTATAAAACGGTTAAACCTTCGTTCAAGCACAATTTCAACAGAAATAATCTACGGTTGATTTTTACGGCTGTCCAGATAGTACAGGTTGATGTTACCTGGCCAATGACATGGCCTCCAGCTTCCCGGCCTTGGACGATGATCGCATCGACGCCGGCTTCCACTGCTTTCCTAGCACCTTCAACAGTCCCAACCTTCCATAATCAAGCAGTTCAAAGTTGAAACAGATCAATTGCAAGAGAGCAGTAGTGCAGTACTAATATTCAGTTGTGATAGTATGATTTTAAGTAGTAATTCACCTGAGGGACGACCTTGACGCCGGCGGCGTGAGCACGATCCACGAGTTCCCTGGAGCAATCCCCCCAGTAAATTTGAAGAACCGCCACCTTCTCTTCCAGTATCGCTTCCAGATTCTCCTCGTGGGGAAAGGGCAGTACTACACCTATCCCAAACCCTTTTGAGGTTAGCTGCCGAGTCCTCCGAATCAGCTCCCTCACGTACTCCGGCGCCTCCTGGATGGATTAAATCAATTAGTCAATCTAACAACGGTGGTCCAATTAGCTAATCGACTGAAGAAAGTGGAACTGAGAGCAAGTTGTTTGTAAAACTTACCCAGTCAGGAGCTCTGAGGAGTCCGAGTCCCCCGGCGTTGGCGACGGCGGCGACGAGCTCCGGTCCCGAAATGTCGGGACCCAGTGGCGCCTGAACGATTCCGTAGTCGAAACCCAGTACCCCTCTCCACCCCATTTGCTTGCTAATTCACGTTCTTGATCTCTCTCTTGATTGTGTTGTTTCCCGGGTTCTGTTATTCGCGCGTTTGGCCAAATTATAAGTGGGTCTAGATTCAGAGGCGAAAATGAAATTGGATTGCTCATCTGTTTTCCAATTTTTCTTTTTCCCCATTCTGCCGGTGGCCGGTGGCGGGGTAAGTGTGCTACTGAGCCATCACTCAGTAACTCGGCGGGAACCACTCGCTGACTCGCTTCCCCTAAATGTTTTTTTTTTTTTTGACAAAAACTTCCCCTAAATGTTGTTGGCGGGAAAATTGGTAAAGATAGATTGAACGATAGCAGAGAAACTAGCGATACTTACTGCAGAATCCCGAAACCCTCCATCCGAGCCGAACTTTCGGAGCCACAATGTCATCTTTCGATTGCCCGCAATTAACCCGTGAAGAGATACTCGATGTACTGACGACGGCCGGGATTGCCGCCACTGACAGCGATCTCAAAAAACCTACTGCCGGTTTCGTCTACAGCCTCTACTCCGATCTCTTGGCCGTTCTCGGCGTTCCCGACGCGTAAGCTTCCCCTCAACTGTGCATTTCCGTCTTCTCGCTCGAAATCTGTGTTCAGCCATAGACTGTTTTCTGATTCCTTTGTTCTTGTTTGGTCTGTTCTACTGCTGAATTTCGCCAGGGAGGACCCAGGGCAGGTGGAATTCGACGACCTCGAGCAGCTCGAGTACCCCCCTGATCGTCTTGATCGTGACGAGAAATGGTTTCAGTTCATGAGTGTTTATAATATGACACGGGAGGTTCTGGGTCGCATCCGTTGCCCGCTTCAATTCACACTCTACGACCTTGTCAAGCCAGAAAACAAAAGAACCGAGTTTCTCATTGGTTCCATTGCTAATTTCTACCTCCACAAGTACGTTGGTAGCCATGTCTGAATCATATTTTGTTTCGTCATATGGGTTGCAGAAAGTTCCAATCTTTGCACATAGAGCTTCGTGGGAGTAATTTGTGCTTTTTATTCCTTGTATGGAAATCAGGGACTCCAAGATGGAGATGGTCAAAGGTATCATAGAGGACACTACATGCCTTGTTGAGCGGCTTAACGAGTTGGAGACTGAGAAATCCAAGGTAACCTCAAAAGAACTTTTGATGTTTGATGTACATAATGCTAAATGTTTTGCTACTTCAGCTGGATGCAGAAATTGCTGAATGCAACGCTGCAAGAGAAATTGAGTCACCAGTTGTTCAAGAGCTGGAAGCGAAATTGGAAGAGTTGCACCAGACCATTGCCAGCCTCAACAGTCAGCAGAACTCACTCAGAGCTACTCTAAGTAACTTGAAGGAAAAGGCTGGAGAGATGGATATGGAGGTGGGTTCTATAATGAACTTCCTAAATCCTGATATTTTAACATCCTTCCGATATAGAATGATCAGAAATAGTAACCCAACTGTGCTTTCTGTAATGTCCTTTATTTGCATGCAATAGTTGCTGATACTTGGAAACTGGAAGATCTGGTTTTCCAGAGATATTAAATTCCTCATTGTTTTTGTCTTTGATCTCTTGCCAGGAAGTTTTTTCCCCTTATATTCTAGACCAATGTGGATTTTTCTTCATGATTTCCAGTCACATTGCTTACCTTCTTCATCTCCATCTTTCTGTTTTAGTCATTTGTATAAAGCCTAATCCTCATAGTATCCTTTCCTTATTTTTGTTCTCTCCCTCGAATTCCACTCATCTGAATATGGCGATGTTGCATATTTACCTATGGAAATAAGTTTCAGTCCTTAATAAAATTTTATACCCTTCCAAATGGTTGTCAAAATGTGAACTGGTGCATCGGGGGTTTTCTATGTGGAAAGGTGATTTCTGTGCACATGTAGACAGGCAGATAGTATGAAATGTGTATTCAGTTGCTTGCTGGTCTAATTTTGATTTGTTGGTCTTGACTAATGCATCTTCAGTTTGGTCTTCAAAACAGATTTCAAAGTCTGAGTTTGATATGATTCAAAGCCGGGAAGAGAATGCAAATTTACACTCTATGATTGTTCAGTCTCCAGATAAGCTGCAGGTATGTTCTGTGTGTTTCACTCTTTAGAAATGGTAATTGATAAAAAAGCTCCGTTTTTAGAAAGTATTTTCATTTTAATCTTAAGGCTGCAAGTGGATGCCATTTCTCCAAGTTTAGCTGCTTCTTATAGTACTAGTAAATTGCATATTCCTTGGTGATGTAGACCCAATGTAGCTGCATCATAACGCTTAACTGAAACAAATAGTTCCCACATGTCATGATGTTGCCCTGTTGTAAAGTTTGCTTGGTCCATGCTTGACTGGGGATTCTTATAAACCAATTAAATTGAAGGATTTGATGGGAAGATCGCATCTCATTTCAGAAAGTCTAGTGGTTTCTCTTGTCATTTATTGACTTGCGCTAATTGTTCAAAAGAAAGCTATAGAAGAGAAGAGATCCATTCGGGAAGAGACAAGGAATGCTGAAAGGCTAGCAATGCAAGCATTTCAAGAGAAGACTTTGGTTCTCGAAGTCTATTCAAAGGTACTTTCCTCCTGGAGAATTCAAGGTCATAATTTATTTGCAATTTTATTGGTAAAAAGTCCATTGGTTCATCAAATGATACATCCCCGTGCAGCTCATATGTTGATTTAAATATGTTTATCCCTTTTCTCCAGGCAAAGAGCTGTCTTAATTTTTGCTAAGCCTGTAATGGCAATCACAAGCAACTAATCAAGGCTTTCTTTGTTGACATCTCTCTCAGACTTCCAAGAAATTATCAAAGCACTACTCTCAGATGCAGGCTATACATGAGCAGGTACGCAAGCCACATTTGGCTCAAATGTAGAACTAGAAGTGGGATTAACTTTTTGCCTTAATTCATTTCTAAACTGTCCAAGTACTCCCTGACCCTCTGCTCCAAGCAGATGAACTCCGCGAAATCGATTGAGAAAGAGCTGAAAGCTCTACAAGCAAAGCTTAGTGATGATGGAGTGACGGATAAGTCACTTGCTGCAAAAATGATGGAACGTCGAGGAAAAGGTACATTTCTCTTCTCTCTCTACTGTATCATATCTATGTTAATGATGCATTGAACAGTTCAGGCCAAGAGTGTATCAAATCCTTTTTCAGCACAACAGCTTGCTAAGTTGAGGAAGCAATTGGAGAAAGAAAGAAAGATGAAATTTGAAGATGCCGACAAAGAATTACACAGTAAGAAGCTGGAAGTTGAGTCAAGGAAACGTGATCTGGAGGAAAGGCAAATGAAAGTAGAAGCTGTTCTTGGGGAGGTACTGTGTTGTCAGTTAGGAGCATGCTTTTCTGCTTTCGCTGAGGCTTATCTTAATACTAAGGTTGTACTATTACTGCATATAATGAAGACTTCTGATTAGTGCTTCATGTTCAGGCGGATGCCATAAATTCAAAGATCAATCTATCATATGAAACTGGAGCTGCTAAAGTTCGGGCCTTGGATCAGAAATGTAATGAGCTTGTGGAGCAGGTGAGACCTTTAAAAGTATATATTCATAGTGGCATGTCAACTTAAGGGGTTGTTGGACTCTGTGATTCTTAATGGTATATGCTGAGATTGCATAGTTATTTGAAAATATACATTCTAAAGGCATCTTCTCACTTGTTTTTATCAACCTTTGCTGTGGTTACAGTTTGAGCGATATCAGAGCTCTATAGGTGATGTATTGAAGGGCTATGGCGGCAAGCCAGCGTACTAGACGACCCAGAGAAATTGTGGTGCAAGTGTGTTTTGGGGTACTAAGAAAGTGTTTTTTTACTTATGCTGTAGTAGGGTACTTGTACTCTTTAATATCTACCAGATGAGTTATCACCATTGTCAGTGGTTAGTACTTAGTAGCAACACTGCAGAAAGGGTGTATGATGTCCATATTTCTTTTCTTCGTTACTAATGAGTTATTAATCATTCAACATTTGTAGCATCCATCTTTAGCGAAATGTGAATTTACAAGTGTCATCCATCCCTTTTTCGAGTAATATATAAGTTGCAGGAAATAGGCGAATATGGAGTCGGCAAAACTCTCCCACCCTGTGTATTTTGTTTAAGGTGCACCTAGGTTACAACTTACAAGTTGGAATGACATTGAGATGACTGTCAATGCAACCTTACTCGTAAGATTTCTTTCAGCAATACTAGGCCAAGTTCTGGCAATTTGTGAAACTTATTATGGGTGGTTGGATGATGTAAAGGGAATGTCTTATTTCTTAGATGTCAACTATGAATACTGTGACACGTAATAATTATCCCAAAGATCTTGTTTTGATGAATGATCTCGTTTTATTTTCTTGTTTCGAGTAATTGTATCCTAAATGCTCTATTCGAAAATTCATCTAAAAATGACCTATTAATAAACTAAAACCATATTGTTCTGCATTTTGAGATGAGAATGAAGATGGAAAATGTGCTGAATTCAAGGTTTGAGCTTCCCAGCTCTCTCTTCTTGCAGTGAACTCCACACATTTCCAGTTCAGTAGTACACGCATCGAACTCGAAAATCAGCTCAAAACTCATGCGCAAATATGGGATGTACAGAAACCAAGACAATTGCATTCTGCAACTTCCTTCTTCCTTTCAGTCACGCTTATCGTATTTTTCCCGTGGCAGAAATTCAGTTATAAAATGAAATCCAACTTGAACAGAACCTGACAGAGAACCCATCAAAATTTTCCAGCAATGGGAACCATAATGTTATTACTGTTCAGCGATTGGTCTCTTATTGATCCTGTTACCACCATCACAGAAACAGCAGAAGCTTCTTCCATCATCCTCATCCACTTCATTGAAGCTGGGGCAGCTCTTTTGTTGCTGGGATTTCTATATCTTGCCTTCAGAAGCAACAGCACCTCCTCTGTCTACCTCATAGACTACACATGCTACCGCCCACCGGATCACCTGCGGGCACCTATCCCCAACTTCACAGAACATATAGAGAGAACAGAAGGTTTCAGTAGAGAGAACAGAGATTTTCAGCAAAAGGTTCTTCATAGGTCAGGGATAGGGGACGAAGCATGCATGCCAATCTCGGTACACGAGCTCCCTCCCAACACTTCTTTCGAACCATCTCAACAAGAAGTAGAGCAAGTCGTCTTCCAGGTGGTGAAAGATCTTCTCTCGAAGCACAGGATAAATCCAAAAGGGATCGATATCCTGATATCAAACTGCAGCATCTTCTGCCCCACTCCATCCATCACATCAATGATAATCAACAGGTTTGGACTCAGAAGCAATGTTAAAAGCATCAGCTTGAGCGGAATGGGCTGCAGCGCCGGGCTTCTCTCGATAAGCATGATTGAAGAACTCTTCAAAGTTCACAAAAATTCACTTGCTCTGGTTCTCAGCATGGAAGCTGTAACCCCAAACGGATATCGGGGCAGAACAAAGTCCATGCTGGTAGCCAACACGATATTCAGAATGGGGGGAGCTGCCATTCTGCTGTCGAACAAGAAACATGACAAGTGGAGAGCAAATTATGAGCTTCAGCATCTCGTCCGAACTCACATGGGAGCAGATGAACAGTCCTACCGCTCAGTCGTTCAGAAACCGGATGAGGAAGATGTTGTTGGGGTTTCACTGTCCAAGTCACTGTTACAAGTGGCAGCTCGTGCTTTGAAGATTAACGTATCAGAGTTGGGACCCCTCGTGCTGCCTTACTCAGAACAGCTCAAGTACGGTTGGTTAGTGACTTGTCAGAAACTCTGTGGGAAAGGGAGAGCAAAGAGGGAAGCAGCTGTGGTGGTGCCGAGATTCAAACGTGCTTTCGAGCATTTCTGTATCCATGCTGGGGGAAGGGCCATAATCGACGGGGTGGAAAAGAATCTGAAGCTGGAGAATGAAGATGGAGAAGCTTCAAGGATGACACTTTATAGATTTGGTAACACTTCGTCTTCATCGGTCTGGTATGAACTTTCTTATCTAGAAGCAAAGGGCAAGGTGAAGAAGGGAGACAGGATTTGGCAGATTTCTTTCGGGAGTGGGTTCAAGTGTAACAGCGCAGTTTGGAAATCCCTTGCAAATGTTGATCCTGAAAGGAAAAATGCATGGTCAGAGAGAATTCATATGTATCCTGTCCAGATGCCAGATTTTTCATAGCTCATAGATAAAACTCAAGGGATAACAGTGATTGTAATTCACACAAACATTCACCTAGTTAATGTGCCACCAAATGTACAGACCATATGATAAGTGTTAAAGCTATATCATAGTCCTTAGTCCTTACCAACTTTGTTTATCGCGCACCATAGCAGTTTTCCTTTAGTGTCAACTCACTTATCCATCAGCTAAGACTTCACAGATTTTGACAACTGCCGTTGCTTGGACAAGATCTCACCAATAAGATGGCGACCAAACAGATGAGAATTCTTAAGAATGACATTTCTTGTGAACGAGTTTACAGCATAGCCTTGTCCGGGCATCCATTTCAGTAAGTGGATAAGTAGGTCTTTCTTTTCAGGTTCTGCAATATATCGCGATATAGCCGTTTCAAATAGTCCCTGCAAAATTAAAAACTTCAAGTCAAACTTGTAACGCGGGTTAATAGAGATTCTCTATGCTATAGCTATTTTAAGATACAATAGTCCAGGAGACTGGGAAAAATGAAAGATTGACATAATAGAACTTACCTCATCTTTTGCATAACCCAAGGATCCCAATTGAGACAATAGCTCCCTGGACTTCTTAAACAAGCCTCCTCTCATGTACACCTTTAGTAATGTTGTTAATATTACCTGCCTACGATTTCAATAAAATAATCAGGAACAACTGTTTGCACTACAACCCATGAAGCAGAGACCTATAGGGATATTATCTTGTAGCACACCAAAGGACAAAATATGATTGATCACAAGCATGCCAATTGTGTGCTTTTAACAGAAAGAAGCACAAAGAAAAGCTAATATCACTCTGAAAGCTAGTTGAAATGGTTGGATAAATAGGAGAACGACCTAAATTGGTTCAAGCCCTGAAGATTACATATCTTGAACCAGCCCCTCAGCTTTCTTGTAGTCTCCGCCTGAAGAGTAGGCATTCATTAAATAGCTGTAGTGAAACTCATTAGGTGAATGACCCTCAGCTTTCATCTGGTTGAAATAGCTTTCTGCTTCTTCACATCGATTATTTGAAGCACAGACAGCCAGTAGCGTCCCATACATTACACATTTACACTGTCCATCTTCAACCCTCTAAAATTCAGTTCCTGAACCAGATCCAATGCTGTATCGTAGCTATCTTTCACTTTGATACAACCTGCTAGTAACTGAGAAGGGAAAAATAGAAAGCAATCAAGATGATATCGGAAATGCAAAAAGTTCAAGGTTCAGAAATATTTCATGCATCAGAGGCACTAAGACAAAGTATGTATAGTCTATAGATGAACATCTCTACCATTCCAAGAAATCTTATAGTAATAGCAGCAAACAAACACACAGTTTATGTTGGTAGGAGTATACAATAACAGAATTCCAAATAGAAGACAGGTGCCAGGAATGCAGTATTGACATATTGAACCGGCACACAATCAACGTATTGATTCTAAATATTGGCCCATTATCTACTGTAGGTGCCAAGTAAGCAGTATTGGTTATACTGAACCAGCCCACAATCTAGGGTATGGATTTGTAGAATATTGGCTCATAATCTACTACAGTGAATAAGATTCTGGCTGCATCATTTCCTTAATACCAGTAATTTATGTTGCACTGGGTTTCGGCACTTGGAACTTACTGCGGTATATGTGATGGCATCAGGTGTTAAACCACTGTGCTTCATCTCATGGAACAACTTGATGCTGCTGTCGAACTTGCCACTCCTAACTAGGCAACTAAGACCAGAATTGCACACGATGACATTACTCTTTGTTGATTCATCTGGTATCCCTCTATAGATTTCCAATGCCTTCGTGAGGTTAAGACTTTTTCCCATGAACTTGATGCAATTGCTATAGGACGCAACAGAAACCTTCCCCTGCTTTTCCATCCAATCGAACAGCTGCATCAAACCCCAAAAGTTAAAATGAGTGACAGGAACAAATGAAAGGAATAATCAGTAAGCTTTTGTTCATCAAGGTTTTTTTAGCTCCGGCACCAGAGAAAGGTCTCTCCATCTGTTTTGGTTTCCCAGACTCCGTAAAATGGCATTCAAGTCTTGCACCTTCAAAACCCCTCTTAATCTGCGAGATTTAGCAAGGAAACTCTTTCAAAACCATTCAGTAGCCCGAAATTGAACTGTTCCGCACCGTCACTTACTCCAATTCAAGAGCTTTTTGAACAGATAGAACTGACCTTTGGAGAGCAGATTCCAAGTCGACGGATTTTTCAACCTCAACGACGGCGGATTGTCTGGCCGAGTAGGAACTCGACTCGCGCCTCCGAGAATTGGAGAGCTTGACCTTACGAATGCTCAACGGCGGCGGCGGCCGCCCGGATTCTTCGACGGGTGAAGCGGTTCCCGCGGCGATGATGTGGAGAGAAGTCTTCTGCAAATCCAAGCGGCTGTGGATGCCGACGGAATGTAATGGAAAGACGAAGGCGTTGAAGGCCTGTAGACCTGGGCCAACGCCCAACAATGCAGCTGAAATCTCCATGACTAAGGAAGCAGGGGGGAGGAAGAGAGAGCTACGAGGCAGGAGATTTTGCGGGAAGTTCAGTATAGATAGGCACAACAAAGAGGTGGAGTATTTTCGATTAGATACCATAAATATGTTGATGTCTATTTATGGTCCTCTGCTCATAATGTTTTAACAGCTTACTCCTCTTACTTCTCCAAACTGTTCTTATGCATGGTTCGATTAGGCACGACATTTCATTGATCTCTCCAACAAATAGAGCCAAGAGAAGAACAAATCTGAATATCACTAAAAGATGAAATCTTAACCCAAGAAGAAAGCTTGAGTATTTTAGCCAAAGATATATAAAAAAGGTGACAATGAAGAGAATCAAATAACATAATCGATTATAATCACACACATAGTTCATATTCAACCGAACTATCAATACATAATTTCGAAAAAAAATAGTAATGAAATAGACTTGAAAATACTTCGTAAAATCTGACATCTCCCTGTGACTCTTTCATTACCGTCTAGAATAATAAATTTGATCACCTAAAGATAAATCTGTTCGTGTAGAAACACAATTGCACTATTGCAGAGTCTTGATTTCTCTCGGATTCGAATCTCTCATCAATAAATTACTCCGGGCTCAGACTTCAGTGGGACCATCTCAATTGGTGGGAGCTGGCGAGCAACGGTCACAGAAGCAACCTCTGGGCCATAAGAATTGAAACTCTGCATATTTTAGCATATCATATGAACAGAGAAACAAAAATCCATAAACAATTTTAACGATGAGATCAAATTACTAAACGGGCTCAATGTTGGCATCAACTGTGATAAGCAAGGAAAGAAGCCACACCGAAAACAGCCACGTGGGTTGCGAATCCTTTGAGCTGTCGTGAGCCCTGGGTCCTCTGTCTCCCCCGCTGGCTCTCTCTCTCTCTTGCTTTGCTGTGTCTTTCTCTTCTCTCTATGTGAGCTTTCACTTGGCATGTTAAGGAGGGAAGTCACCAAAATTCTTATTCTTCGTGCATGGGCAGCTCACAAGTCACACCCTTTTCAATTTATTGCTCTATCTGGCAAAAAGGGTGACACAATTGAAAGAATTGCTTCCTTAAATTTCCTATTTTTTCGTGTGTTTTGCTGGTAGAGGTAGAGAGAGAGAGAGGGGGGCAGAGAGGAGAGAGAAAGAACTGCCAGATTTGCAGCTCCTGAGGATCTGTAAATTGCGGAGAACAGGTCAAGCTACAAGCTTTTCTCCAGGTATCGGTGAAAGTGAAGGAAAAAGCAGTTCCCGTTGGGGTTTTTGGGGGGTCTATTCTTCAGGGAACCTCTGCTTTTGGGATGGATTGAGTCTCTGGCTTCTGGGTTGCCTCAAAGGTGAGTTTCCTTCAATGCTTTACTTGTATTGTGGAGGGCGGGACTAGGGCTGGAAGAGAATTGAATTGGGTGCTTAACTTGCTCGGGGATGTAAAGGCTGATTTTTGTCTGTGATTAGTGTTTCTATTTTCTGCTTCCATTCAGTCAATTCCTCCATAGTTCTCCTGATGCAATAGGGATTTGAAATAACTAGGGAAATCTTGGCTAATGGCAGCAAAACTATAGAAGCATTTTGTTGATTATGCATTTGTCTGTGTGAATCTTAAGTTTATAACCGAGCTACTAGCTACTCTATCAATTTGATTATATCTTTCAAGAGGGAGAAAGTATCAATTTGTTTAGTTTCTCAGTGGGGTCTTTCTATATCCCAGCATCAAACCCCCTATTGCTTTGTGAAAACGCAGACAATTTTATATCCATGAGGCTTTGAGGAAATGACTTCATGAGGAATCAAGTCACTGTTGCAGAAACTTTGGTGTAGTTGTTACGGCATGTTGTTATTCCAGCATTCTTTTTTGGTTCTTGACAAAAATGTATTTTCCAGGTAGAACTGGGGCTGCAAATGGTGGGCTTGGGACAACTGTTCTTAGAAGAAAATCAAAGGTTCCATTTCATTTGATTCAACTTTAAGAACGTCTTGCTGTATGTACACTTTTTTTTTCCTTTCTATTTCATTCAGGAACGTTATCTTTTCCTGCCAGGATTAATAAGAAGGTCTTGTCCAATGGAGATGTCTATATTGGCGACTTTAAGGGAGAACTTCCCCATGGAAAAGGCAAATATTTGTGGTCAGATGGCACTGTCTATGATGGAGAATGGGAAGGGGGTAAGATGACTGGAAAAGGACATATATCATGGGCCGCAGGAGCCAAATATGAAGGTGAATTTTCTGGTGGTTATCTTCACGGCTTTGGCACCTTCACTCGTCCTGATGGGTCTGAATATCGAGGTTCCTGGAGGATGAATATACAGCATGGGCTAGGTACGAAACAGTACTCCAATTTGGATGTTTATGAAGGTTGTTGGAAGGAAGGTGTACATGAAGGTAACGGTAGGTACTCTTGGAGTAATGGCAATGTCTATGTGGGGAATTGGAAAGGCGGAATCATGAATGGTAGAGGAATCATGAAATGGATCAGTGGTGATATCTTTGATGGCTCTTGGTCAAATGGCCTGAGGCATGGGTCCGGGGTTTATAGGTTTTCAGATGGGGGTTTCTACTTTGGAACATGGACCAAAGGTTTGAAGGATGGGAAAGGGACATACTATCCCGCTGGAACGAAACACCCCTCTCTAAAGAGATGGTGTAGATCGCTTGGTTATGATGATGTTCCAAGTAGCTTTGAGTCCCGTGATGCTTCAATATTGAATTCAGTAGAAGTTGAGTCTCAAAGAACAAGCATTAGGCGCAGTGTCTCGGAATTGTCAGGTAGTGGAAGTTTAAGAGGTTCAGGAAGGATAATGCAGAGAACAGCATCAATAGACAGAAGTTCAAGCCGTGGTCATTCTGCCAGAGAGTTGATATTTAATAATGAATTATCAAGTGCGCTGTCTCACATCTCAGATGATGCTCACAGCGTGGTGCTAGACACTGATAGAATAGCTTATGAACGAGAATACATGCAAGGCGTTTTGATCAAAGAGAGGATTGTAACTGCAGAGCGGTCACGGAAGACTAAGCATAAAAACAAATTCCATGCCAAAGAAGCGAAAACGAACTCGTGGATGAATATTTTCCAGAGCCGTCAGAGCTATTATCTAATGCTTAATTTGCAACTTGGTATCAGGTACCTATCCAATGCTGAACCCCTTTCGATTGTTTATTATGCAATTCATGTCTGCTTTGCTCTTTGCCCTGTTGGTGGGAGATTGAGTTTTCAAGCAGATCCTTTCATTCATAGGGTTCTTTTGGTTATTGTTGATATTCTCCCATCTAGTTGTACAAAGCCTATGTTGAAATAGGCTTTTGGAGCCATTTTGAGATGTTTAATGCATATCCGCTCGTCTTTTTCTTTTGGGTGAATATGGTATGAGTGACAGGATATGCAGTATTTTCTGTACCTTGTCATGTTCTTTTTTGGTGCACATCTAATTGTAGCATTTACATCCCTAGAGGTCCAACGTTGCCCTAGGGTTTTAAACTAAATGCTTCAGCTTTCATTACAGTCTACTACGTGGACCTGTTGCTGTTGTCTTTGCTTTATATCTTTGTTCTATAGTCAGTCTAATGTTTGCTCTCTTTGGCAGAGCTCAACTATAATGTTCAAGAGTTTGAATTTTTGCAGTGCCAGTACCTGCTCTGTGTCTTCTGATCTTAAAACTGTTTACCCATAAAAGTTGTTGAATGTGTTCTGGGACATCAAACATGCTTGTTGATCAGTTAATTCTGAAGTTCACAGGTATACTGTGGGAAAGATCACACCAGTTCCCATGCGTGAAGTTCGTCCTTCTGATTTTGGAGAGCGAGCTAGAATAAGGATGTATTTTCCTAAAAAAGGATCCCAGTTCACCCCACCTCACTACTCCGTTGATTTCTATTGGAAAGATTACTGTCCCATGGTCTTCAGGTAATTGTCTATTCGTTCCATCTTTGTTTGGAAATGGATATACTACTGGCTAGAGTTGTTCTTGTCAATGATCAGAGTCGAGGTCTTAAAGATTATGATTGCTGCTATCATTGCGAGATAGTCATAAGGTTCCGGTTATTGTCACTTGAGTAGAGGGTAGGAACCTCTGTGATCTGTATATAAGTGGTCTGCTGCATCATAAGCTGCTGCTGCTAACTTGTATTGGGAGTGGTCAATGGAGCCTTTTTCTACAGTTCCCTGATATGTTTAGAACCATGATTCAACATATCATAGGATTTACATGACTAATCCCTTCTTACTCGTCCTCCTTCACCTCTCAGATTAAATGATTTTCAGTTTTTGAAGAATTTTACACGCCATATTTATAAGAGTGACTTCCCTTTACATGTGCTTAACCTTTTCCTTTTTCCATAAGTAATCTACTGTTTCTCTTATTGTCGATGCTTAATATGTTCTCCAAGTCTCTTTTCATTTTTCCATTTATGCACACGATTGTCTGTTATGTTTTCTGCTGGACTTGCATGATGTATGGTCATCATTTGTTGAGGTCTTTCTCCCTTTTCTGTCTGATCCAACTTTCAGGAATTTAAGAGAGATGTTCAAATTAGATGCAGCTGAGTACATGATGTCTATTTGTGGTGATGATGGTCTGACAGAGCTTGCTTCACCTGGGAAAAGTGGCAGTCTCTTCTATCTTTCTCATGATGATAGATTTGTGATCAAGACGTTAAAGAAGGCCGAGCTCAAGGTTTGATTCTACATATTACTTCTCTATGATGTTTTGTCAGGTCAAAGCACCTTGTCACTTCCCTGCTTAATGTGTCACATTTCCTCCTAAATAGCTAACTTGCCTAGACTTTGGAATATTTTAGCTGAAGAACAACTTTCTTGATTGATCTAGATGAATATGTCAGTATCTCTGACTAGTGTTCCCTTTCGATAGTGGTTTACTGATTTTATGATTTTCTCGACATTAGCTTTATTGTTGCACTTAACTCTTGCTTGGTGTGATATCTGTAGAAAAAGCTCACAGAAAATTGCAAATTAGTAATTACCAGCATTTCCATTTTCTTCTCTGCAGTCCCTTCTCAGGATGTTGCCAAAATATTACTGTCATGTAGGCAAGCATGAAAATACTCTCATAACGAAGTTCTTCGGGGTTCATCGAATAACATTAAGAGGTGGACGAAAGGTAACTCAAGTTTCTTTCTGTAGTCTTCAAAGAATTTTGCACTGCACGTGGTTGCTACCTATAGTTACCGAGGGTTTTTTGTTTCCTTGTTTCTGTTTCTAGGTACGGTTTGTGGTCATGGGTAATATGTTTTGCACAGAATTGAGAATCCATCGTCGTTATGATCTGAAGGGCTCATCTCATGGAAGATACACAGATAAAGATAAGATCAAAGAGGGTACCACATTAAAGGACCTTGATCTAGATTATGAATTTCACATGGACAAATTATTGAGAGAGTCACTCTTCAAGTAAACTTCTCCTTTTGAGATAGCATTCTTTCTGTTGATCCTGCTATTCATTAGAATCCTTAGTCATTCAGTTATGAGTAGAATTCATTTTCTCTTGCAGACAACTTCATCTGGACTCCAAGTTCCTAGAATCTCAGAACATAATTGATTATAGCCTTCTCTTGGGGTTGCATTTCAGAGCACCAGAGCAGCTGAAGGCCGTTTTAGAGCCTCCTGGTGCCACAACCAATCATGATAGTTTTTCTTCAGATGATGGTATGCTTGCATGTCCTCAAACTTAGATCCTACTATCTACTGACATGTTTCGAACGGGTTGATACTCATGAATTTTGTATCTTTTTCATTTCAGTACGGATGACGTCTTGTGTTTCAATTATGAACTTATAGCTAAGTGTTTTGCTTTGTACAGTTGGTGTGAGCTCTCAAGGGGAGCCCTTGATACCGCCGACCGGATTGATCTTGGTCACTCATGAACCTAGTTCTGTCAACACGGCACCTGGTCCTCACATCAGAGGTAGCACACTGAGAGCTTATTCTGTTGGTGAGCGGGAAGTCGACCTGTTACTGCCCGGGACTGCAAGGTACCTTCATTATCACTAAATACAACCATCCAAACTCGGATAGCTAAACTTTTCCCCACAACCCACTTCTATCGCAAAGCTGTTAGTTGCTAAACGTACCCTGGAAGTCTTTTTCGTTTGCAGGTTGCGGGTTCAGCTAGGAGTGAACATGCCAGCTCAGGCGAGTCACAAGCTGCTGCAAGAAGAGGGCGGTCCCACGGAGGTTGAACTCTTCGAGGTCTATGACGTGGTTCTGTACATGGGAGTAATCGACATATTGCAGGAGTACAACGCTAGGAAGAAAGCCGAGAATGCTTACAAATCACTCAAGTTCAACCCCCTAACGATTTCTGTCGTTGAGCCAAAGCTATACGCTCAGCGGTTCCTCAGTTTCCTGCAGAAAGTGTTTCCGGAGCCTCCCTGAGAACTTATATCCAAAGCTGCGTGTGGTGTAGCTCTCCATCTTTTGTTCAGGTAATTGCCGGTGATGGTGAATTCTAGCCCGGCTCTCGAATCGAATCTCTTTTGATTTCTGAGATGGAAGTCTCTTTGCAACTTTTGTAGGAGAAAGGTGCATTCATAATTTCTTTTCTATAGGGAGTACAGTAACAGTGTCGATTTTTGTACAGTAGTAATATTCATTTAGCCTATAAAAATTCATGCACCATGATTTTTTTTTTAATCTACGTAGAAATAACTTTATTTAACTTGTCATTTCGCGGCGTACGAAACTTTTAGCTAAAAACACAGTATCGTTGAGTACATCTCTATCGTTCTCCTCCAATCGTCAAACCATGCTTGAAGTCTTGCAATGTCTTTCTCCCTGCAAGTTTGAGTGCTTGTTAAGCTAGAGGTCAGTCGCATGGATAATATCGAATCCTCGAAGTCTTCAGCCTCGTAAATCGAGAGATTTCATTCTCAATCATTGGCTTGATTCTCGTAAACGAGCCTCCTCCTTTCTTCGTGCAATTCTGACAAAAGGAAACACAAATCAAAGCATACGATTAATCAACGACGACCAACATTTTACTTGTCTGCTACGCGCGGCAATTCTAGGGGTGAAAGAGTACGAGAGAGAAAGTACCACATCTTCGAAATATAAGTCGAGAGATTTCACGTTACGCAAACCCTGCAAAAATTTCACGGCTACTCGACTACACCATCCCAACTCGTTATACAAACCCGCATATGGATAGGACACCATGAGCACAGTAGCGCGATCGAGGGACGGAAGGTTCAACTCGGGGAGTTCTACAATATGACTGACATGAGTAGTGAAACAGAACGACTCGAGCTTCGGGGCCGACACTTGACTGACTGAAAACCCCCTCGAATTACGAATCTCCAGTCTCAGCAACTGGAGCCCGGTCACTTTGAATCCATCCGAGTACGACGAGAGACTGCAATCGAGTAGCTTCAAGCATCTCAAAAGAGGGATGTTGGCAAAAGGATCGTGGCCGCGAGAAACCATCCACTCGCAGCCACGCAGCTCCAGAGTGGTCAGCATTCTGCAGCCCGAAATCGAGCCGAGATCGACCCGGTAGCAATCGACCAGCTCGAGAGCCTCGAGAGCCTCGAGCGGGTTTTCGTCGAGCAAGATGCCTAGATCGTCTCGGTTATTCACTCTCGTGTATTTGGATGTGAAGCTGACCTTGTGGATGGTTGCGTGTTGTGACCGGAGGTGAAGAAATTTGCGTACGAAATTTATGCCGCCTTGGATCGCGGAGAAGGAGTTCTGGTTGAGATTGAGGACGCCGACGTCTTTCCACAGGTCCCTCCACCTCTTCGAGAGCACGCTGGCTTGGACGACGAGTTTTGTGTCGTCGAGCGACGAGAGGATGTGATACAGAATGTCGTCGGAAAGATCGCTCACTCGATCATCTTTTACTTCTGCGCCGTCGTCGTCACGTCTCGTTTTTCGAGGCATAACGGACACAAAAGGTGAATCAAACTGTCCCGATGAGAAATTGTCGGCGACGGTTTGCTGGCTAAGTTCTGAGTTCCGACTATGAAACCCTAATCCTAGTTCTTGCAATAAGGTAGAAGAAAAGAGCTATACTTGCTTGCTCGGGGATTTGAGAAGTATTTAAGTACAAGGGAAGAAAGTGGGCTCAATAGGGCCCAATAGGATTAAGGCTTGGGTTGGTTCCCGGAATATATATCAATACCCTAGCCCACCAAATCAACATATATATTTTTCTTCACTAAAAAATTATTTAAATTTTGTTTATTATTAATAATAATCCATTCATACTTTACAAGTGTATAATCTTAATGTATAACATCCTATATATGTTGCTAAAGAGTATTATCTTACCCTCTAATTCAACCTCCACAACCTTCATGGCCGACTCAATGTTGCATCAAAGCGTTGATCGTTTTAAACATCACATAGTTTGATGAGACAAGTCTGTCATATAACTGACAAATATGATTTCGTATCTCACATCCCTATCAGATACGGTTGTTCATTGTTAAGATATCACATTGCTAGCTAGTAGTTCGTGTCTTTGGTTTAGCTTAGTTACTCATTTTACATTAGGGCTAATACCATTAGAAATACCAACCTTTAACGAAAGTGCCATTTATATTACGAAATTTCAATAATCACATTAGTATTCCAACCTATTGGGGGTAAATGTCATTTGTGTTACACGATTTTCAGTTGACTGTTAAAATTAACAATTGACCTAACAGTAGTCAACCTATGTTTGACCACTGATGACGTGGCTCTTATGTGTCCACATATGTGCCACGTAAGAAATTAATATTTAAAAAATTAATTTTATTTTGGTAAGAAAAAATAAATTTTAAAATTGTAATTAAATAAAAACAGAAATTCTTATAAATAAATAAAAAACAACATCCGCCCAATTTACTCCGCCGCATCGACGCCACCATCCACCCGAGCATATGCCGCCGCCTCCTTTTCTCCTATTCTTCTTCTCTCCCCGACGACCAAAATGTCTCTCCCGCTTCTCTTCCACTTCCCTCCCTGCTCTCTCCGCCGTCTACCGCATCTGGTCTCACCTCCTCGACTCGACCTCCTTCATCTCCCTTCGCCGCCTCCGCGGCCTCTTCCGTCCCACCCTCTTCATCTTCTCCTCAACCGACTCCCTGCTTTAACCCCCGACTCTCCTTCTGGCCAATCCAATCGAATCAATAGAAAAGAGGGAAAATGAGTGTTTTGGGTGCACACTAGATGGGGGTTGTTCCGGTCGGAGGCCCACGCGCCACCCCACGACGAACTCTATGGTGGTCGATTTCTAATGCTACTATGACGACGACGACGCTTCCAAGCGGCTGAACCAGGAATGGGAGGAAACGGAGCAGATGATGTCTCCAAGTACGGAAAGAGGCCGCCATGATTCTCAACAGGCGCGGTGCCTCTCACCAGGCTGATAGGGGAAATCGATGGATACGGGATATCTTGTTTGGCGACAAATCGACGGAGAATGTGCAAACCCCTTGCCCGCCTCTTCGTGTCTCTAGAAACAAATCAGACGCCAAACCCTTTCCGCCGGAAGATTTTGGGCGAGGAGTGAGAAGGGGGTAGAAATAAGGGGCAAAGAATGGAAGTAGAGGTGGCAATTTCAATCCAATCCACCAATCCAATCCATCAATCCATTAAAAATATCCACCTAATCCAATTCATTTAAATCCAATCCATTTGATCCAAATCCAATTGGATTGGTGGATTAATAGATTGGATCCATGAATCATTGGCAAATTACGGTTTAGTACCTATAATTTTTATTTTTTACATTTTGGTACCTAAAATTTAATTTTTTTATACGAAAAATATCATTAGAAAATTACGTTTTGGTACCTAAAATTTTTCATTGTGACATTTTAGTACCTAAACTTTTTACATATTGGTCCTTGGTTGAGGATGCCATTAATGGATTGGACCCATGACCATCTCGAACGGTTCGTGGTCCGCCCACGGGTTGAGAGGAACGCCGTGTTTGTCTGTTTGATTTCCGCTCTCGTGTAGTTGAACGTGAAGCTAATAACCATGTCGGCGGTTGCGTGTTTCGATTGAAGGGGAAGAAAGTTGCGTAGGAAAGTTCTGCAGCCCTCGCTCGTGGAGATTGAGGATGCCGACGTCTTTCCACAGGTACCTCCACCTCTTCGAGAGGACGCTGGTTTGGACGACGAGTTTTGCGTCGCGGAGTGACGAGAGGACGTGATACAGAATGTCGTCGGAAAGATCGCTTACTCGAACTATTGCTTCTGCGCAACGAGACATGACGGACAAAAAGGTTGATCAAACTGCCTTCCGCTCGAAGCGCCCGATAATGTGACTCTCACGCGAATCGAAGAGACTCAGACTAAGAACGAAGAGAATTAGAGGATCGAAGAACTAAACTACCAAGCTACTTGGGTTCAAATCGTCTCATGAAATTAAGCGAAATACATAGTACATATTTATGGGAATAGAAGCCTCTACCTTCTCCTATCTAGAACACGACTTCTACTCCTTCAAGGAAACAACTAACAATAACCAAATCCTATTTAAACAAAGAAACTACTAATAAAAACAATAATAATAATAAATTAATACAATAACGATAATTAGACCCAAATAATTAACTCAATTGCTAAGATGACCCAATTCTCATAACAAGATGCCTAGGTTTTGAGTTCTGACTACGAAACCTTAATTCTAGTTGTTGCAATGAGGTAGAAGAAAAGAGCTACACTTGCTTGCTAGCCCACCGAAAATCAATCCAAATAAGGTCACGAAGCTATTGGACCAATCCATTGATTAAAATCATAAACAGTTTCTAAAGCACATATCAACTATTAATCCATGTCCAATTCCCAAAACGCAAGGGTTTATCATGTGGAATTCATTTTCATGTCACCGTGACTATTAGTTTTAGTTAGAGATGATACCTTATTTTGATTTCAACTTTGACATAAAAAACAATTTTTGTTTGAATGTTTAAATAAAACAATTTTTTACTGAATTTCGAAACAAATAGACAAAATTGGCATGAAATTAGGGTTGACCATTAGTATTGATTGTCAAACATTTCTTTCATCCATGGCTCAATTTATTTATAAAAAATAGAGAATACCTTATTGTGGCCTGAATTTTGACGGGTTTTTTTTCATGAATGTTAAAATAAGACAGTTTTGTCCAAATTTTGAAATAAATAGACAAACTTGAGTGATATTTGAATTACTCCTCTAAAAACTAAGTGGCAACAATTTTCTTACTAACAAATTGACAGGACTCCATCAAATCATTCATATAACGTACGTATGTACCACAATTATATTGCCTGATCAGCAAGCTTTATATCGATATAATCAGTGACGCACGCACACTAATCAAGAAGATGAAGGCCAACCGTATAATCAGTGACGCACACACAATAAATGGATTTTCTTTCACTTCCTTCGGGTTTTGTCTAAAAGATCTCAACATATGTGGCATATATGTTACTTTTCATTTATGTTATATAACATAAATTTTCTATATTTGTCTTATATGTGTGTAGACCTCTGAGATCCTTTTGTAAAAATGTATAAAGGAAAATTATCACGAATATATATCCTGAAACTAATTCCACTATGTCGATCAAGGACCCTAAGTTATTGTCGTTTTGATTTGAGATGAAAAAACAACAATTGGTATTTCGGTTTGTTTTAATGATACACCCGAAAGATGGTCTGAAATGAAATTAGCTCCAAATGTAGATTAGAGAGTAGCTAGAGACTGTATGCAGCCCACAATGATGACTCCGTGCAGTCAACGACGACCCCGTGCAGCCGACAGCGCCGCTGTCCTTCTCTCCGGGTCGACGACTGTTTGTTTCTCGGATGGTGAATCGGCAAGGGGTTCCACGGCTCTGTATCGATTCCCGCGACGGCGACTGTTTGTTTCTCTGTATGGTGAAGGCGGCGCACTCGCGAGGTTGATTTCACCTCCTCCGGATTCAGAGTCGGCTATTGGCGAGATTTGATGCATTGGTAGTGAGAAAAGCTAGGAGAAGGATTGAGATGCGAGAAAATGAGGCTGAGGTTAAGATGGGAACTGCTCTAGGGTTCTTGGGTGAGGTTGTAAAGAAGGAACGGGAACTAGGTTTGTTGAAAGACCATATTCGGGAGCATGGCTGGGAGCTTCAGGGGAAAGAGAAGGAGCTAGGGCTTCGACAGAGGGCGTTGAATGAGATAGGCTGGGAAATTCGTGACAGACTGATGGTAGTGTTTGCAATGGTAGTGTTAATTGGTATGTTTGCAATGTGAAGAGGAATGGTAGTGTTAATTGGTATTTTTGCAATGGTAGTGTTCCAGTTTTATGCAATGGTAGTGTTTGCAATGGTAGTGTTCCAGTTTTGGTAGTGTTCTTTGGACTTTTTGTGTGCTCATTAGTATGTTTGCAATGACTGAAATTCATACCAAACTAATCAGACACAACAATACGTTGCACAATAAGGCAAAATCAATACAATTTCAATAATGATAATCACAATACCAATACCAATCCAATATTAAATTTGTACCAATACAATCTGTACAGATTTAAGACAACTACCAATGCAGATCACCAGCCATACAAAGTGATTAACACTACCAATCCAAACCTCACAGAACCTTACGATGGTTTAATTGCTGTAATAATTACTTTTCATAATTATCTCTCCCTAATTATCACGTAATTAATATGATAATTATGATTATAATAAAAGTAAAATACTATTTCTATCCTTAGTAGCCACGGTGATTACTAATACTAAGTAATCACCCTAACCTGTCCCTATTAGGAATTGTCTTTGAATCAAAACTTGTTTAAGATTGAAATAAACTCGCAAAATTTATCTAATGATAATTAGAAACTTGATTTCTCATTAGTTCTTATCCAACCTGTGAGGTCATCGGTCCGTTTTTCCTCCCTTTGTAAAACACTAGCTTATTACCCGGCCCGTTGGCCGGATTACTGTATGTTACCCACTTGTGGAATGGGAGAGAAAGCAAGTGAGAGTGAAGGGATTGGGATTCCACTTGATTAGGACCGACCCACTAATCCAATTCTTCCCGACCCGCCCCAACCTACAGGGTCAGAAAGAGTCAATTAGAAAATAAGAACGGGGAGGATTAGTCATATATCTTGACTCTTCAGAAGTGGGTCAAACAGGATCAAGGTTGGGTGAGGGCAATTTTTAGCGCTAAGCAGAGTTCTGGGTTGAATACCTTTACTTAGGCCTAGAAATTGGTGCTGATGCAGACTGCAGTTTTTATTATACCATCATCAATCATCATTGAATTAGTCCTGGGCATCCCTCCCCGTTGTCGGTCTGAATTCTAATGATGGCTTCATTCCTTGCACCAGCCATATCAGCGAGTTGCCATCTCGAGCATGATTTGCCTATGTACAAATAATACAATTAGAGTATGAAAATGAATTCAATGAAAAGGAAAAGAGAATTCTATCACATGCCAATAAATACACACAGAATAGTTGAAGCTAAGTGAAAGTCATTACTCGCACATCAATTCTCAAAAATTACAGACTAAACATTGGCTAGAATGGCATTGAAACTACCAAGAATCATGGACGAAACAACTTGTCAAATTAAATAATCCTTATACTGAAACTACCTTCTAACTTGAAATAAGACATGATCACAGTTCATAGCTCTCTTCTCAATATGAATTGGTTGCAGCTCGTCCTTATCACTGCCTCTCAAGCTCAATTCAAACATAATAGAGACCGTTATGTAAGATAACCATATTCTTACTGATCATAATTCCTTTCTTCACTCCATTTTTTGTCGGAGAAAAGAGTTATCCCCCCTCTCCTGCATTTCCCTTTCCCCCTCTCTTCTCCCTCTTCTTCACAAACCGATCCCTAAACCAGCAACAACAACACAAAAATAGCCTTCGCCTCTCCCGTCTCCATCTGTTGAACGCGTTGGTGGCAAGACAGGACTGCAGAAGCAAAATTTTCTAAAATCAAACTAAATTTTTTGAAGCAGACTCAACCACGAAAAAAGAGTAAAGCAACAATGCAGTAGAACCCTAAATTTAACTACAATCAAGCACATATCAGCAAGATTTTCGATTTGTCTGAGAGTTAACTACACTGAGAGAACAATTGATGCATAATTGAAATGCTCCAAGCAAGTTGAAGGCAAACCATAACTTTAGAATTTGGTCATTATAATAACCTTCAAGTATTGATGCTTCTAAGAACTATCATGTCCAACCCCCACTTATACAACTACGTAGCCATAGTAATTAGTTGTATAATGAGAAATATTACAAAGAAAACTACATAAACAACTATGTAAGTAAATATTAAAACTAACAACTGATAAAACTTAAAATCTCTCTATTGGTATAAATGTATCTATTAGTAACTACTATGCAATCGAGTATATATGATTTTTAGGCACTGAATAAGAAAAATATAGATGGCTCACAAATGAAGACGTAGCAACTGAAGGTAGCACACAAAAACCAAAAATAGAAAAAGAGATAAGAAAAAAGGCGAGAAAAAGCCCACATAGGAATACCTCGCTAGCTTTAGGGACTCTCTGCCACAACAAACAACCTTCTTAAAAATCTAACACCCTGAGACATCAAACAAACCTCCCACGACACTAATGTATGGCATTCCTATTGTCCAATAGGTTTGCCCAATTTAGACTTCTAAATAAATGGACTTTTCACCATTAAACCAAAACTCACAATCATTAACAGTTAATGCAAAGACATACATTTCTGAGGCCAATCACAACATTTAAGCATAATTTTTAGTTGAAAAGAACAACTAAGTATTTAGCTAAATGATATAGTGGAATGGACACAATCTGCTACCTACTAATGATATAAACGTGTACCGGTACCATTGTTGTATCTTGACTTGCCATTTGCAACGGGCACTTTGAAAGACAGCTGCATTTTAGAGAATAAACACCCATAAGGGCGTTACGAAACCAAGCTTAATCCAAAATCTTCATATTCCACTTCGAAGACTCCATTTTCAAAAATAAGAGAGTTTAACATGTCAAATCACTCATTTGAAAAATCTCAAACAACTATTAATCAATGCAATATAAAGGCACGTTCCAAATTATGTACTTGTAGGAATAATCCCAAATAATTATCAATTAATGCCCCAACTACCTAATGTGCAGAATAGCCCTGGAGCTGTGCTGTTGTTTGCGTTGGTCTACCTTCAAACATAACATAGTTGCATCACGAACCAAAGCAATTAAGCAAAAATCTTCATAT